ACCGGCTCCGCGCCGGTGGGACGTGCTGAGAAGAGAAGCGGTGGATGCTGGTGAGAGAGGCTGCTTTCGTCGCGGCCCTATCAAGGGTATTCTGCGCGCAGGTGCGGCGGCCGGCCCCGACCTGGGCGTCCCTGGCCTGCCCCGGTGCGCGGAGTGGTATGAGGACAATGGCGCGCGCATCGCTGTCGGGTTTTTCTTTTCCCTTCCCGTTGTTTCGCCTTTCGTTTTCGGGCGCGGGAAACGTCCCGGAGAGAGGCGCGTCTTCATTAGCGCCACCGCCCGCTCCCCACCCTCCGCGCCAGCGTCCCCGCGGACGTGCTGAAGTGCGTTCGGCTGGACTGCTCGCTGCGCGGTGCTGGCGCCGCGACTGCTGAAGTGGTTCGGCAGATGCTCGGCTGCGGGCTGCGGCCCCCGTGGCGCATGCGCACAATGGCGTCGTCCTGCAGCGTGCGCAGTGCATGGCAGTGCAGGCACCACGACCTGCCGTGCGTGTCCTCGCGCCCTCCGAGCCCCTCGTGCTGCTGGAGGCTCTCATGGAGGACCCAGTGCCGACGCCAGCATGCGGGTCTTCGCACAGCCGACCCTCGCCAGGGTCCGCAGCAAGGGGTACCCAACTCAAGATAATCATTGCTCGTCTAGTTGGTAATCAGTGAAATAATTAACATCATCCAATGAAATGACAATCATAGTTTCGGGGATTCAATCACTTTTGACCATTTTTGCGAGACCACTGCTCCCAAACTATCAGCGGTCAAAGCCTTCCCGAGGCGGGGCATGAAAGAGTAGGGTCTTCAGAATAGTAAGGCGTCGAGGGAGGCCTTTGACCGCAACTAAATTGGATGCAGTGACCGCTCAAAGTCAGCAAAAACGGTGATTTTCTGAAATTCATTCACTTTTTGACCATTTTTGCGAGACCACTGCTCCCAAACTATCTGCGGTCAAAGCCTTCCCGAGGCGGGGCATGAAAGAGTAGGGCCTTCAGAATAGTAAGGCGTCGAGGGAGGCCTTTGACCGCAACTAAATTGGATGCAGTGACCGCTCAAAGTAAGCAAAAACGGTGATTTTCTGAAATTCATTCACTCTTTGACCATTTTTGCGAGACCACTGCTCCCAAACTATTAGCGGTCAAAGCCTTCCCGAGGCGGGGCATGAAAGAGTAGGGTCTGCAGAATAGTACGGCGTCGAGGAAGGCCTGTGACCGCAACTAAATTTGACGCAGTGGCTGCCCAAAGTCACCAATATTGAATTTCCGACACTTCAACAGCTTTCCGAGGTCGGCGCTCAAATAATCCCCAATATTTCCCAATAATCAACATAATAACCTCCTATAATCAGTGATAAATAATAAAATAATCAAAAGAAATCACATGGAATCATACTCAAAATATAATGAGTGTACATGAAAATCTTGAGTTGGTTATCCCTTGGTCCGCAGTCACGCACAGGAGACTGATTCCGAGAGTCGTTTTCGTCGCTCTGTCTCTCTCGCACCTCGCCCTATGAGTGCGAGAGAGACGGAGCGACGAAAACGACTCGCGGAATCAGTGGACAGTCGGCTAGGCCAGGGGCAAGGGCAGGCAAGGGGCAGGCGGCAGGCAGATGCCCATGGTCGTCCAATCGGACTGGCGCCACTCACGCGCCAAGTGCGGGCGCCGCGCTATTTCCGTCCGCGTTCCGCGGTCGCTTTTGGATGGAATTGCGCGAGACCGGCATGAGTGGCGGCGGGGCGCGGTGTCCCGTCGTCGTGCGGTCGCGGCGTCGCGGGCGGGGGAGGAAATGGGGCCCGCCCCGCCCCGTTCTGCCTCGCTCGTTCCGTTTCATATCTATTGTCGCTGTGTGCGCGGTGGCGTCGGTGCGATTGCGGGGCCGTTGCTTTGAAAACAGAACGGGACGAGTGTGAAGCGACCCGTTTGGCTTCAACAAGTGCACGCCGAGGCTCCCCTCGCGGCCCCCGCGGCCCCACCCCGGGCTGCTGCAGGCATTGTGTGGGCGCGGGTGAAGGCCGCCGCCGTGCAGCCCGAGCCCGGCCCGAGCCCGGCCGACCGCGGCGGGGAGGCTGCCTGCCTGCCTGGCTGCCGTTGAATGCTCTGCTCGCTCTGCGCGCTCCGCGGCTGCGGCGGCCAGGGCCAGACCACTGTAGGGAGAATCGCCCGACCCGACTCGACCCGCCCCGGGAGGATTAAAGTGGCCGGAGTTACAAGCGGTGTTGCGGCGGCAACTAAATTCGCGAGTCGAGCGGCTTGCTCTTCCTCCCCCGTTTGGCGTCTTTCTCTCCGCAGGGCGGCTCGGCTCGGCTCGGAGCTTTCGCGGCGGCTGCACCTTGGGCGAGTCTCACGGCTGCCGCCCTGAGCCACCCTTGTTTCTTTTGCCGGCCTTCGTCGCCTCGTCGGGTGTGAACGCGCCCAGTGCGTTTCTTTGGCGGCGGGGCACGGCGCTGCTCCGGTCCGGGCCAATCCGCTGTTGACTCGCCCCGTCTCTGTCTCTCTCTCGCAGCCCTGCGCCGCGCGCCGCATGAGCGAGACAGACAGAGAGCACCGTTCCGCGCCGCTGCTTGCCGAGGGCGGCCCGTTTGCGCAGAAAGGCTGCAGCCCGTAATGAAGTGGTCCCCGATTGCTGGAGTGGCTGATGGCGCCCCCCTCCCCCTCCTTTCCGTCATTGCATTAAGCGTCGGGGGGGCGGGCGGTACGCCGTCCTCGGAGCACCCTGCCGCTGGCGGCAGTCCTCGACAAAGCACCCTCCCGGGAGCAGGGAGCCAGCGGCCGGCTAGGTGTAGTGTGGTGTTGCCGCAGCCGCCGCGTTTTGCGGTGGGTGGGCCGTTGGATCAAGTGCCGTGAAATGGGTCCAGGAGCCTTCCAGTGTGCCAGCATGCGCCAGCCCAGCCACGGTAGGCAGCCCGTCCGGGCGCGCGCATGCGTGCGCTGGGGTTGCCTACCCGCCAGGCGCTTGGCCTGGGGCAGGCTGCCTGTGCCGGCCGGCAGCAGACGAAGTCGTGGCGTCGCTCTGTCTCTGTCGGACTCGCAGGGCGCTCTGTAGGGGTGCGAGAGAGACCGGCTGGCCGGGGCTGGAAGCTGGATGATCCCCAGCCGTGGCCCGCGATGCCGCGACGCGGCCTTTGATGTGAGGCTTTGCTTGGTGGGGCCCGGGCCGGGGTCCGGTCGGGGCCGCCAGCAGCCAGCGCCCTCCGTTTCCCCTTCCCCTCCCCCCTTCCCCCTTCCGCTTTCGGCCCGCGTTATTCCCCAGCGGACGGGGAGACGGCGGAGACGGGGTGCGTTCACTCGGGCAGAGGCGAAGGCTCGGGCAAAGTGCGGTCTCGTGGAAAGTCTCAAACTGTCGTGGAAGAGACCAAAGAGACGGGGTCCGTTGAAAAGGTTCCGTCCAGTGTACCTGCTGCAGCCAGCGACTTCTGCATAACAGCCCGCCGAATAAGCGAGCAACGAAGAAGACCGTCCATCGAATACTCGGCTTTGGGGTGGGGGTTTAAGGACTCGTTGATGGAGTGCAGGAGTGTTGGATTCTGCTGGGGGGTGGGTGGTAGTATGTCATGTTACGGTAGAAGCAAACTGTGGTAGCACGGGGCGTGTCAGGCGTTTCGCCCGACCGCCCGCGGGGGGCCTGCCCGCGCCCCCCGTTCGCGCCGCTTGCTGGTAATGCTTGGTCTCGGCACGTGCGCTCTGCCCCGCAAGATGGAGTGCCACTTCCTTCCTTCCGGGGCCACATTGCAGTGCGATTTGGGGCAGGCTGCACCCGCCACGCCCCGCCACGCCCCGCAGGCAAACCAAGGCAAACATTGATTGCCGTTTCTCTCCGTTTGCGGCTGCGCCGTCCGGGGCGCCGTGCCGTCCCTTCCCCGTCGTCGTCCTTGCAGACCGACTAGAAGAAAGAGTCGTTTCGTCACTCTGTCTCTGTCGCGCACCCTTCTTGGGGCGTGCCTTAAGGGCGTGAGAGAGAGAGAGAGAGAGAGAGAGAGAGAGAGAGAGAGAGAGAGAGAGAGAGAGAGAGAGCTATCCTTTCTGGGTGGCGTGGCCGAAATCTTAATTCGCCTGCTTTCGGCTCTCGGCTCGTGGGCGTGCTAATGAAATCCGCCACCGACCGAAAACAAATAACGGACGACGGCGGCGGCGCTGGCGGCGTGGGACACTATAGGACGCGCAAGGCGCAGGAAATGGACGCCGCGAAGCCGCGCGTCGCCTTCCCCCCCCCCCCCCCCCGCGACCTTTTCGCGCTGATTCGAAAACGGCGGTTCATCGCTGTCTCTCTCGCACCTTGACGGCACGTCCCGTGGTTGCGGAGAGAGAGACAGAAGTGGAAACGGAAAATCGCTCCGCTGGGCGCCTCTTTTCCGCCGGACATCGGGCGGGGGCGTCGCGGGGGGCGGGGGCAGACGGGCTCGGCGGGGGAGGGGGCGGGGCAGACGCACCCGTTGGGCTTCCGAAACCCCGAGCCGCCGACGGACGGGACGGGACGGACGGCCGCCGACACGCAGCGAGGAGGCCGAGACCGAGACGCCCGCAGAGGGCGAGGGCCTGTTTATGTTGAGCTCCTGTTGGTCCGACAAGCGGCAAGGCCGGCAGGGGCAGGCCGGCAGGGGCAGGCCGGCTGCCGTCTGATTCCGAACACTGCTTCGTCGCTCTGTCTCTTTCGCACCCCTACGGACCGCCCCATGAGTGCGAGAGAGACAGAGCGACGAAAGCAGTGCTCGGAATCAGACGGCAGGGCACCGACGCGGAGCTTCCTCCTCCCTCGCGTTGCCTGTCGGCGGCCTGCCCGCGGCCTGCCCACCCCTCCCCTCCCCGCCGCCTGCGAGGTAGGCCGCGCGGCCGCTGCGACGCAGGCGCGCGCACCGGGTTGCCTATCGCCGACCTGACGGGGGCTACGGACTGATACGCCTGCTGCCGCTGCTGCGTACAGCGCCGAGCAGCCTGCCGGTCAGCCTGCCCGTGCTGCAGCAGGTGCCGGGATCAACAAACAGCGGGGCCTTCATGTGTGGTTTGTTGTTGCAGATGGCGTGGACGGGGTAGACGGGGTAGACGAGCAGCATGGGGAGCCCAGGGAGCCCCGCGGCGGACAGCAGCCAGCGGCGCCGCAGCGGCTGCCCCGACGGAGCGGTGGACTCGGCATGACGCATGACGCACAATGGCTGACACTTCAGGTAGGCTGGGCCGTCGCCGTCGCCGCCGTGCAGCGCTTGCAGCGTGCTCTCACTTGACTGGTGGCGCTAATGCTGACCTTGTTCCTTCCGCAGGCCCCGGCCCAGGTTCCGGGTCGGCAGAAGAGGTGGCGGCCGGCGGGGATGACGGCGGGGGTGGCTGCGCGGACGTCGGGGACGTGTCCCCGGACAGCCGGCTGTCCCCCGACGCCGTGGACGACGTGGAGACCGCAGTGCCGAACGCCGAGGCGGATGCCCGGCCCGAGACCGCCGCGACCGCTCCACCAGGGGCTCCACCAGGGGCTCCACCAGGGGCACCGCCAGCGGCACCGCCAGCGGGACGCGTCCGGACAGCCGAGCGCCCGGAGCGGCCGGTGAACGGCGCGGTGCCGACGGCGTCCCGCGGCCAGGGATGGTGCCAGGGCTCGCCGCTGGAGCGGAAGCGCTTCTTCTGCCGCGAGTGGGTGTTCGCCAAGCTGGCGCACTGCCTGGAGGCGCGGCCCGCCAGCAAGACGTGCGGCGCGCTCGTGGTGGGCGGCCCCGGCACGGGCAAGACGGCGCTGTGCTGCGAGGCGGTGTGGCCCGCGCAGGGCCCCACGGGGCGCCAGCAGCGCGCGCTCCGGCGGCGCCTCCTCGCCTACCACTTCTGCCAGGCGCACGACGCGTCCACCCTGTCCGTGGCCGACTTCATCCGGCGGCTCGTCGTGCAGCTGCAGGCCGTGCACGAGACCCACCAGCAGCAGGCCGCGTCGCCGCCCGCCGCGCTGCCGCCGCAGTCACTGTCCGCCGCCGCGGCCGCTGCCTACGCGGAGAAGGTGCGCACCGACCCCGAGATCCAGGTGAGTGCCGCGTCTCATTCCCAGTGTGCTGGAGGCTGAAAGTCGTTCGACGGTCACCATTCCCGTTTTGCCCCCAGGCCGCTCTCCAGCCGGACATGCTGGAGCGGGACCCTGACGAGGCGCTCAAGCGCGCCGTGCTGTTCCCGCTGCTGGCGCTGGAGCCGCCGCGGCAGTGCCTGTTCCTGCTGGTGGACTCGCTGGACGAGACCGGACCGCTGGAGGTGCCCGCGCCCGCCCACCGCACCAGCCGCACCATCGGAGAGCTGCTGGCCAACCACCACCACCTGTTCCCGCAGTGGCTGCTGCTCGTGGTGACGGCACGGCGGCAGAGCAAGGCCGTGGCCAAGATGTTCACCGGCTTCCGGAAGATCTCCCTGGATGACCTGCGAAAGACGCAGGTGGTGCGCGACGTGCAGCAGTACATCCTGGCGCGCCTGGACCGCGAGGACTCGCTCAAGCAACACATCTCGCGCGACACGGCCGAGATGCTGAACCAGCTGCACATCAAGAGCAACGGCTGCTTCCTGTACCTGGAGAAGGTCCTGGACGGCGTGGCCGACAACTTCATCGTGCTCCGCGAGGTGCGCGAGATCCCCGGCACCCTCAACGGCCTCTACCTGTGGCTGTGCCAGCGCCTCTTCAACCGGAAGCAGTTCGCCAAGGTTCGGACCGCATTCTCATTCTCGCCTCCCTTGTGTGGTCGTCTGTAACTAACTCACGATTGAATGTTGCCGCTTTGCTGCTGCAGGTGAAGCCCCTCCTGAACGTGCTGCTGACGACGAGGCGGCCGCTGACGCGCGACGAACTGCTGTCGTGCATCAGCACCTCGCTGCCCAACGTGTCGAGGGAGTACTTCAACTGGCGGCTGCACCTGCTGCGCCGCGTGCTCGTCACCACCGGGCCCGTGCTCTCCAACTCCCCGTCGGCGGCCTCGGCCACGGCCACCTCGCCCGCGTCCGCGCCCGCGCGGCCGCAGCCCCAGCTGCTGCTGTTCCACCACAGCTTCGCCGAGTGGCTGCTGGACGTGAAGCACTGCACGCAGAAGTACCTGTGCTCCGCGGCGCAGGGCCACGCCATGCTGGCCATGTGGTACACGATGCGCGCCAAGTACCTGTCCAAGGAGGAGGTGAGTGTGCGAGCGCCGCGTCCCTGGCGAGGCGAGCCAGCCGTTCGTGGCGGGAAACAGACCAGTCTGAAAAGCGAAACTTGGTGGCGTTGCAGGTGCAGACATTCGCCTTCCACCTTTCCAAGCTGCCGCCGCTGCCCAAGCCGGACAAGAGCGAGACGGCGGCCACCGGCGCGGCCACGCTCGACCAGCACCAGTTCCAGGTGCTGTGGCTCATCGACAGCGGTGCGCCGGTCGAGGACTGCCTGCTCCCGGACGAGAAGGACAAGGGGGTGAGTGTGGGCTCTGGTTGACTCGCCGTGCCTTCGGCTCGTTTCGGTTCCCTTCACCGTCCTTGGCCTTCCCCTTCTCGCAGGAGGCCGTCGTGGAGACGGCTGCGCCGCCGATCGAGCCGCTGCCCACTCTGCCTCGCGAACCTCAAGTCTTGAAGCTGCTGCTGGCCGCCGGCGCCATCCCGCCGCCCAAGGACGAGGACGAGGATGGCCACGACGAGGACTCCGCGAGGGGCGTCGGCGGCGCGGACGACGTCGAGAAGAGGTCTGTGGGCGTTGGCGCCGACGGCGAGCCTCCGTCCGTCGACGATGAGGGCACTTCTAGTCAAGTGAGTGTTCCAGGGCCTTGCCGCCTTGCCTGTGCGGTGGCTGGCGGTGGCTGGCGGTGGCCGCACCCCTCTGCTCGCTGGCGCCAGCACGCTGAATGGCCTTGTTTGTTCCTTAGATTTCGGAGCCCAGCCCCGCGTCCGGCGCGCTGGCCGAGCTGCTGGGCATGTTGGGCATGGACCGGGACATCAACAGGGCCGACCCTAGCAGTGGCAGGACGCTGCTGCACGCCCTGGCCGCCGAGGGGGACTCCCGCCTCCTGGAGCTCGCCCTGCAGAGCTGCCCCGAGGCCGAGCTGGAGCGCACCGACAGGCACGGGCAGACGCCCCTCAACCTGGCCGCCAGGCACGGCCACGCCGACGTCGTGGAGGTCAGTCCGTCACGCCATTGTCCGCGAGGGTGGAGGCGGAGGCGGAGGCAAAGCCGCTCACCGACTGTTCGTCGACAGGTGCTGCTCGCCGGGGGTGCTCGCGTGGACCACGCGGACCGCGACGGGTGGACAGCGCTGCGCGCGGCGGCCTGGGGCGGCCACCGCCAGGTCGTGGACTTGCTGCTGGAGGCGGGCGCCGCCGTGGACTACGCCGACATGGACCAGCGCACGGCGCTGCGGGCCGCGGCGTGGGGCGGCCACGAGGACATCGTGCTGGCCCTGCTCCGGTCCGCGCCGTCCAGCGAGCACGTGAACCGCACGGACGACGAGGGCCGCACGGCGCTCATCGCGGCCGCCTACATGGGCCACGCTGAGATCGTGGAGCACCTCTTGGAGTACGGCGCCGAGATCGACCACGCCGACAACGACGGCAGGACGGCCCTCAGCGTGGCGGCGCTGTGCGTCCCGGCCAACGAGGGCTACGCCAAAGTCAGCGTAAGTACTGTACCCTAGCACACGAGCTGTGGCGGTCTAGAAGGGCACAGTGAGTGACAAGCACCGCGTTGTTCCAGGTTGTGAACATCCTGTTGGATAAAGGAGCGAGTGTGGATCATCAGGACAAAGACGGCATGACCCCTCTTCTAGTGGCTGCCTTTGAAGGCCACAGGTAACTTTACATAAACAAGTCTCAAGCTCGGCCGTTTTTACTTCTGAGCTGGCCCATGACTGTTTCCTGTTCGATGCCCATTCAGAGATGTCTGCGAGCTGTTGCTGGAGAGCGAGGCAGATGTGGACCACGCAGACCGCTGTGGCAGGACTCCACTGTGGGCTGCAGCGTCCATGGGACACTCCACTGTGGTGGCCCTGCTCTTGTTCTGGGGTTGTTACGTCGACAGTATTGACAACGAGGGCCGCACCGTGCTCAGCGTGGCTGCTGCCCAAGGCAACACTGAAGTCGTCCGACAGCTTCTTGATCGAGGTTTGCTACATTTTCATTTTCAGGCATCTAGTTTGGTGATAGGGGAGCTTTCAAATTTAAGTGGCGCTATTTTTTATGTGTACTCCAGGTCTTGATGAGCAGCATAGAGACAACTCTGGCTGGACTCCACTGCACTATGCAGCATTTGAAGGCCATCGTGAAGTCTGCGAGGCTTTGCTAGAGGGTGGTGCCCGAGTGGACGAGCCCGACAACGATGGCAAGGGAGCGCTGATGCTTGCTGCTCAAGAGGGCCATGTGGCTTTGGTGCAAGACCTACTGGTCAGGCATGGAGCGCCCCCGGACCAGAAGGCCCATGATGGCAAAGCTGCCCTGCGGTAACATTTGTGATTTACATTGCACTCGCATTTTAATAAAGTGAAATTTACTGTCTAAGTTTTCAATCATATTCCTTTGATTACAGAATGGCAGCTTTAGAGGGCCATTATGAGGTGGTAAGGTGTCTGATTCAGAGTGGTGCTGACGTGGATGCTAAGGATGCTGACGGTCGTAGCTGTTTGTATATCCTAGCATTAGAAAATCGGCTTCCTATGGCTCGCTTCCTGCTGGATCAGGGAGGGGCGGATGTGGAAAGTAGAGACTCTGAGGTAAATTTATTGTATAAAAGATAGCTGATATTGTACTGTATTTCTAACTCCTGTTTATTGTTGTGTCTATTTGTCTTTTTTTTTTTTTTAAATTTAAAACAAAATGCAAAGTTAACTAAGATTGTTATTGTTGGTCCTTTTCAGGGCCGCACACCATTGCATGTGAGTGCTTGGCAAGGGCATGTTGAAATGGTTGCTCTACTTCTGACGGTTGGGGGAGCCGATGTAAACTCAGTTGATTTGGAAAATCGCACTGCGCTTCACTCTGCTTCCTGGCAGGGCAATGCGTCCATAGTGAGGTTGCTCCTTGAGCATGGAGCCGCTCCGGACCATACTTGTAACCAAGGTGCAACTGCTCTAGGTAAGTTGGAAGTCTGGGAGTGATCCCCTTTACTGTGCCAGGCATTGGGAGGAATAGTAACACGGTATTGATTCTATCATTTGTATCATTGAAGGTATCGCCGCTCAAGAAGGCCATGAGGCTTGTGTCCGAGCTTTACTTCAACATGGAGCTGATCCAAATCATTCAGATCGTTGTGGTCGTAATGCTCTGAGAGTAGCCATGAAAAGTGGGCATGATAATGTTGTTCGACTTCTAGAAGAATTTGCAGCAAGTTCCAGACCACACCATCTAAGATTAACTACGAATGGTAAATCAGAAAGCTCTTTGTGCATTTTCTTGCTAGGCTATTATTTTTTTACCATTAATCTTATACTGTATTAATTTATTTTATTTGTGTTTAGGTGGCAGTAGTGGTGCTGCCTCCATTACTTCAGGAGCTTCTGCTGAAACAAAACCTTCTTCAGCTCTTCTCATTCCTTCCGCTCCATTGGCTCACCACAATTCCATATCTCCCATTGACTCACCAGATTCAACATCCAAGAGAAGGTCCTTTGTCTCTTTGGGGAACCACTCCAGCCACTCCAAGTCCAGTAGTAACTTGACTGGTAGTACTAAGAGTTCTCACCAAGAGTCCAACAATTCTCATCAGGTATGTATGACATTACTTTGAATATTATCCCTCCTGGACATGTGCCAAGAGAAGTGCCAGGTAGTTCTGAGGATTCTATTTTGCGTACTATTCCTCTCGTCAGCTGGCTGCATTGTCATTCACCCAACAACTACAGCAGTGTACACGAGGAGGAAAATCTCGACCACTTTCACGGTTACTTAGTCCCCTGCAATCAGAACCTCAAAGTCCAATTTATGCCACCCCTCCACACTCACCACTCAGCGACGTTGGTATGCCAGCCAGCCCCATGGCTGTGACCCCAACAGGTCAGTTGAAGCATGAAGCAAAAGTAAATAAGTAGGATCTTGGTGTTCTCTTCACTCAAAATTTTTATTTTCCCTTCTTTAAATTACTTTTAGGTGGTGTCGGAAGTATACTTGCAGATCCTCATTTTACCCGTGATACTCATATGCGAATAATCCTTGGCAACAGTAGTGCTGGTGTTGGAAGGAATGTAAAATCAGGGTCCGATTTCAATCATTCTAGTGGAGGGTGAGTTATCGTTTCACAACTACTTGAATGATGCCTTTACCACACAAAGTAACATTGGTTTGTGCATTGTTTGTTTTCTTCACAGTGGAAGCAAGCCAAAACGAAATGGGATTGTCACAAATCCTGCTCTCAGACTTGTACCGGGCCTTAAAAACGGATTGGACTTCGCATCTGGCCGCAAAATGAACAGTAGTGCTCGTGTTACGAATTCAAGTGTTGCAAGTCCTGCTGCCATCATGAACTCACGACCAAATAATGGGTTCCAGTGGAGGAAAGAAACCCCATTATAGCAGTAATCTTTTTAAGCGATTTGTTTTGAAGCAAGTAATCTGCCTATGGTACTGAGGAACAAAGTGTTATTTTTACATGTTGTTATAGTTCATAGTGGCAAAGCAGTCTGTTTTGTTCATCAGAAATCATCTAAGTGAGTCACTTTGCATCACAGAGAAATTGATGTGAAATTTTACTAGTCGTTTTAAGTGATCACCCCTTTATGTAAGGAGAATATTGGCTTGCCTACCAAAGAAATCAAATTTGTCGGTTCCTGGTGTGTCTTGCAATCATGGTTACATGTCTAAGACTTTGAATTTTAGAGGGGTTGTGGAAAGGAAGTCGTTTTAGTTGTTATCTTTTGTTTCTCCTTGCACAAATCATTCTAGAAATATTTAGATTGCATGGTATTTATTGTTCATTGTATGATGATCTATTGTCTCAAATTTTATGGTATTATTGTTAAACTAATATTTGTGACTCTGCATGTGTGTGTAGAATGACTGAATTATGCAGACATTTTTAATAGTTTGTTTAATTTGGCATGTGATGTGCCAAAGATAGCAATTCTTTTAAACAAATCATCTCTGGTGTAGCTCTCTAAATTGCACTTTTAAGACATGATTTAAAGTGGCACTGATTTGTGTATCTTACCTAGCTCTGTGGTAATAGGAAGTAGTGATCTATTTTAAAGGCCTATGTATAAATTGTAAAGGATGTCTTGTGTGAGATTGGGGGTGATGATTTGTTTCATTGTTGCATTATGGAGGAAATTATGAGTTGGATTCAAGTTATAGGTTCTTTTGTACTCTCTGTAACACGTTGACCTGAACAATCATCATATAAGTGTCTGAAGACCAAGTTTTGCAGAAACTTGTCCCCAATACGATAGCAACTTCTGTGATTATGTAATTCTTCTAACTATTGCTTGCTTAATTGCATTTATAGAAATTACCTTTACCTTTTACTTGGAATTCATTAGCTTGTAGGTAATCAACTACCCATTTCAGACTTGCAAAAATGCCATCTCGCGACTACAAAGTTCAGTAGTTTGCCTGAACTGGGCTGAATAGCATATTCTGCCCTTATCTTATCTAGAAGTTTTACATGCAATGCTTATTGTCTTGCATTTCGTTTTTGGTTTTTTTTTGGGGGGATGGCTGTTGAGTACAATGTACTATGAGTATTAACTATTTTACTTTAAAGTTGTTGAATCGCTGGTCTGTTATTTATGTGTCTATTGTTATTTGGAGACACTATTGTTTATCAAATTTTATTTGTAGAGTCGTCAATTTGTACTATACTACTGTAGAACTCTAAGGCATTGCCCATATAAGACTGGACCTTTACCAATGTTGCCATATATTTGCTGTTATTTTTCTATTCTTCTCATTTTTTTTTTTGTGGAAGTAAGCATTTTATTTTTCGGTTGACGTTTTAAAAATATGTGTTGCACTCTGAAGCAATGTATGCAACAAGCCTTGTTGCACCTGTGAAATAATGTTTCTTTTCCTCAGTTTTATTTTTCAATCAATGAAATAATGTACTTTTTACATTTTAAGATCTTTCTTTACTTATTTATTTTTAACTATCTATTGACTTGTTCAAAAGTAATGATTTTATGAAACGGAGAAATATAGTAATTATTTTATAATAATTGTAATTACAAAAAGACAACTCTACTTCAAATTCTGAGAGAAATTTGTCTTGTGTCTTCTTTTTGGTTCATTGCATGAAATGACTTGTGGGTTGTGCCAAGGAAATTTTAACTGTACAGTAGTCTCCACAAGATTTGTCAAATTTTTATCCCAAGAGTGGCTTTGATTATAAAGTAGCCTTGGTTAAATCAATAGAAATCAACTAACTGAAAAGTTTTATCCTAGTTACCAGAAACAAACCTTGTATTCCCTCCTGTAGTAAAAAGAATTTATATTATATCTATCATGTTAGCTAGTGCATGCTATCAGGAGTCTTTTTCTTCTGGTGTATAGAGTGTGGTAGTGATGTGGTTAGAGAGAAATTTAAATTGTCAATCATTAATTTTTGTCAGTTTCCTACAGCTAGTTAAATGTCACACCTTTCCGTAACTAGTCTGCAGAGTTGCAGTCACAAAATTCCATTGCATCTCATGTGAGCTTGAGTGCTTGTTTCAATCAAGCAATTTTTAATGTACCTAACTATCCACACTGAAGGAAAAGTGCCAATGAAAAGATTTTGGCAGTATTTTTAAGTGGATGAGATACTTTTAGTGCTGCACATTCTAAATCTCAATTTTCCTATCATCATCTAAACCGCACTTGTTTTATTTTACCTAAAGAAGTTATTATGATGGCAGCACTGATTGTCAAATAATACATTTAAGAGGCAATAGATTTGTACAAGATGTGAGGTATGAGCTTAGAGTGATCTCAAATGGTGAGGATGTGTAAAGGCTACAATTTGAAGTGCATATTTTGTGTCTGAAATTAGTGCATTATTTAAACATTCCTATTCTCCCATCACAAGTAGTGCTAAAGGGATGCTTGCATGCATAGTTCATGCGTCTTCTGAGGGGGTGAAGAGGGAGGGGGCATGGGGAAGGACTGCAATCATGAAGTAGTACTACTTCATGCTGCAATTTGAGAAATAGCTTAAGAAACGTAAATCCAAACGCGCAAAGTAAACAGAAGTAAGAAACGTGTGGAATCCAAACACAACGCAAACAGAAAAAATTACGAAAGAAACTTAAGAACGCAAGATAATCGTGTAATCGTGAGACGTGAGACGTAACGTAGCAAAGAGCAGAAATCGCCAAAATGGAGGGGGAAGCGCGACACATGATTGGCCATTTGAAGCGGCCAGGCCAACCAACACCTGATCCATGTACATACAGCGATGTACGCCGCCATTGACACCAGCTGATCCACAAATACTCGTCATCAGCGACGCAAGGGACGTAGGGACCAACGTAAAAACGCATAACCACAAAAGCAAGAGGTAGAGATCACACATACCTTGGAGACCGACTGCTCCGCCTACAGATGCAACGCTGCTCCCTGATTGGTCGAGAATTTTTGGGTGCCGCGAAGTGAGGTGGGTGTAGCAAACTAGCCTGCAGCGATTTCTAATTTCTAACCAAACTGCTCTTTACAAGACCAATATTAAGTTAAGCGTGGCTCTCCTAGGGAACGTACTGAAAAGGTAATTTATTTTGACAACTCCAAGCGCTTTCTAGGAGTTTTCTGAACCTTAGCCGATGGATTTACCAGAAATTCACCCAATTTTCCATAACATTTTGGGGTCCTCTTCCCTTGACCAAAATAAACAATTTGCAAGCTCGCCTTAGTAAATTGAAAATGAATTAAACGACTATCTTTCTGTTAAACAAATTGCACATACCACGCACCGCTTTGACCGTGCTGAATTTAACATTTTCTGCCGGCGCCTCTCTATTTTTTACCCTCGTCAGGTTAGGTTTTCTTAATTTATTATTATCATGAAGCCTGTCAGCAGCTGATGTCACATACTTAGTTACTTAATTTTGCCCCCTCTCATTTGAAATTTTGGGTTTTTCTCAAAGTTTTGTTAGGACAATTATTTTTGGAGAAGTTATCTTTTGTTGTCTGGGTGTTGATGTCTTATGAACTCAACATAACTTACCATCCGCAGTTCTATGACATATGAGGCACTATTATTATTTTTTCAGGAGAATGAGCAGCTCCGAGGAAGTGTCATGGATTTCTTGGTTTGTGGCACTGAGAGGCAATGAATTCTTTTGCGAGGTGGGTAACGACTATATCCATGATAAATTCAATCTAACAGGTCTAAGTGAACAAGTCCCACATTACCGGCAAGCCCTGGATATGATTCTTGACCTAGAACCAGGTAAGACTGATTTAATGGGACTGACTGCATGATTCATATGTTGTTACCTTCTATTCACAATATTTGTCTCAACCTTTTTAAGATGACGAACTATTAGATCAGCATCAATCAGATCTCATAGAACAAGCAGCCGAGATGCTTTATGGCTTAATTCATGCCAGATACATTCTGACTAATCGAGGTATAGCACAGATGATTGAAAAGTACCAGGCAGGTGATTTTGGGCATTGTCCACGGGTATACTGTGAACTTCAGCCGAGCCTTCCAATTGGTGAGTGTTTTTATGATCATACGTTGCTAATTACTTTAAAGCAACTAACTCATACTGAGCTTCTTCAAATTGTAGGCTTGTCTGATCTTCCTGGTGAAGCAATGGTGAAAGCTTACTGTCCAAAATGTATGGATGTGTACAACCCCAAAGCAATACGTCATCACCACATTGATGGAGCTTACTTTGGCACTGGATTTCCTCATATGCTCTTTATGGTTCATCCAGAGTATAGACCTAAGCGTCCAGCTAATAACTTTGTTCCAAGGTAGAAAAATCTTTTGCTGTTGTTTTGTTGACTTGCTCTCTCTAATTTTCTGTTAATATTTCGAAAAAAAAAATTTATTTACAGACTGTACGGCTTCAAGATTCATCAGTCTGCCTATGACATTCAATACGCAGCTGCATCAAACTTCAAAGCCCCAACACGGGCAATTAATTATAATAATGGAAAACGTTAATACTATTTATGAATTTGTAAATCCTTAAATTCTCTACCCTGTCAAATGACAACTTTTAATCTTTTGAGAAATGATTTTAACTATTGGACTGATTGACATGTTTGGTTGTCTCAGGTTTTTGCCAGTGATGATTCTACTTTGTAATGTTACCTGAATTTTGGTGTTGTTAATGTGTAGAGATCAATTTAGTTGGATTCGTTGATGCATTGTAATGAGCAAAAGAGGATTTTTGGCAAAATTTAATGGAATCAGTGATTCTACAAATGCTGTTGTCACTGTAACATTAACCTCTCAATTCTCTTATCTACTTCTCATTTAAATGTAGGGAACAAAAAATCTATTATTGTTGATAACCTTATAAATGAATTATGTTATCTCATTCAGCAAATGCTGTGATTTTTCTCACACAAATGTTTAAAAAATATTTTGATGTGTTTAATGATGTATGAGAGGAAATATATTACTGCGGACTTTTCTTTTTCTCGAATGTGAGGATGATCTGAGACCAGGTTCTACTGACTACTTAAATCAACCATTTTGAGATGTGTAGTCTTGGTCTGCAATTTATCAAAGTCTATTTTTTTGGATAGTTTTGGGGGCATGTGATATCAGATTTTTTCCCCCTGTTAAATTGGCTATCTGAAATGACATCAGTAGCCTATCTAGGACAAGATTATGTGTTTAGATTAGACTATCTAATTAGATTGCATTATGGTTTACCAATTGCTATGTTTAGATTGTAACTAAAACCTTTGACTTGGACCTAAATTAAATGCAGTTTATTTGTTGTTTTATAGTTGTAAAATGATTTACTTGGTTGTGTGGAATATTGAGTGACAGGGCTAAGTGCAAGCTTCACAATGCTCATTTTATAAAGAAACAAAACGATAAGAACTTCATTTTATTTTTTTGGAACATTTAAAATATGAAACCCAACATTTTATCTCCATAAATGCATTTCTTTTTAAACAGATTAACTAATTACTGGTATTGTGCTTTGAATAGGTTATTTGCTAATTTGTCTCTAATTAGCTACGGATCAGTTCAACTAAAATGAATGCATTCAGTGCTACATCGACACAGTATGCTCAACATACAGTATTCACTTTCACTTCCCCCATTGAAGGGGTCGCACTTGAAAACACACAAATGAAATACAACTCAAAACTTACATCTGACACTTTGTCTAAGACAATTAATGTCTCAAAACACATTTCCTCTAAATTTTCAAATAATTGAAACAGCACACTGAGAGATGTGCAATTTTTCATTGCTAATGACATCTAAGAGCAAAACAATCCAGCATCTTTTCAAAGCATTATAATCACATTCAATACACTAAGTTTGTCTTGCTACAACACAGAAATCTTTTCTCTTCAACTTCGAGATCATGTCAAATTAAAATGACTGACTAGTCGTTATCATTTTGATATGATAACCATTTGCTTTACAGGCTGAAAATAGCCCAAGTAAATTTTAAGTTTCATAACATTCCTACAAAATGCACTCAGCAGATCACAAACAGAGAAATCAAATAAACGCACTTAGTCTTGGAAAAATTTAAGTACTTTGCTAAATATACATCATGCAAAAACCTGCATTGTACCAGAGTTGAAAACAATATGAATTCTTAAGAACAATTAAGATGACATTAATCAATAAACCAATTAATTTTCAGTTGCATAGCATTAAATGCTACCAACAAACTTAGAATCTGCAATTTCCTTTGCTCATTACTCATGGTTTTTTCTCTTTTAAATGATGCCTAACAGAAAATGTATTGATATAAAACCTTATTTTGGTGGTAGAAATTTAAGGTATGTAGATTCTAGCAGTGGATTCTGCACAGTAAATATTCTATTGCTTCATTTTAACATCAGTAAGAAAACCCAAACCTTCAGTCTTGGCAAAGGAATAAAATCTGAAAAAATAAAGTAACTTCTGCACACGTTAAGCTGCTCCCACGTCAATCTCACAACAAATTCAATGTATTTTCACAGCATTGCAAATTCAGTCAGAAAAAAAATCATTCATGAACACTGAAGCAGCCACTACCAGAGACTGAAAATTTTCCAGCCTACCAAACATGTCGAAGTTCAAAAGGGCCACCATCAAATACAATATTTGTGATTTTGATAAGAAGTGGGCATGGATACCTGAAAATGTGTTTAACACAACAAATATGTACTGGGCACACAGCTCCATGGTGAAAACTGAAGCAGAGAGCTTTACAGTAAATTTCAAAGATAAAAGCCAACCAAGTCTCACTTCCAGCGAGCAAGGTGTCTGCCTCCTGATGTGTTCATGTCCCACTCTTAGGTGATGGAGAGGGACCCTCTCGAAACTGCTTTTGTTGTTCTAGCAGTCTCTCAAGAGGGGATGGTCCTGGACCAGACCACAGGGACTGAAAAAAAAAAATTAAAATATAAATTATTGTTGATTTTAGTTTGTACCACAAGATACTGGTGATAAGAGAACAGAATTGCACATACCTGTGCTCCCATTATGGCTGCTCCATTGCCTCCATTTGGGTCAGGGTTGTCCCTGATAGAGTTCACACCATCCCTGGATTCTGAATCCACTCCACTCCGTCCTGGTGATATTGCTGGAGATAGCCAGTTATTGGTACTAAAAAGGGAGTATGGAGAGAAACCTTGAATATTACTGGGAGAATCTCCACATTTATCCTGAAAAACAAAAGCAATGTATAGAATACCCAGGAAAGCAGCAAGTGCTAACAATAATAAAAAATAAAACTATGCATTATTTTTGGCATTTACTTCTGAGAGAGTCCTATGTGATTGCTGATTTTGGAACATTATTGATGACCCCTGGGTACCCTGTAAACACCAAATTGATTTTAAATAGCAACAGCAAAAGATTGATGCCAATTGGCAGAGTAAGTTCACCAGGGCAAAAATGACTTCTCACCTGATGTAATTGAGGCTCCTGTTGCCTAGGAATAGAACCAGAATGAGGTTGGAAAAGTTGATGCTGCACTGTTGAATTGTGCAAATTCAAGGAAGGGTGGTGTGGTTGCTGAATTCCATTACTCAATGGCTGCTGGACATGTGGGGGAGGTCGCTGGTATTGAGGTTGTGGTTGATTTGGAGGCATGGGTCCCCAGTTCACAGCACCATTGTACATGTTTACAGGGAGGTTCCTTGTTTGGGAGCGGCTTTGGGATGGCCCCTGGTCATGTTCAGGCCACCAAGAATTTCTGAGGTTGCTATCTGACACTAGATTTGGCATTAGTGCCTCTTCTTGCCATGCACCAAAAGGTGGACGCATTTGCTGGAAATAATACTATCATTAGCAAATGTAACATGAAATATCCTAGAGGATTTAAACAGAAGTAATACAAGGGAAATCACCATAGCATTTTCAGAAATAACAAAATTATGGCCACTAGCATCAAGCATATTTTGGCGAATGCTTGGAGGTGGAACTGACATTGGAGGAAGAGGGAATATTGGTGGTGGGGGTACGTGTACAACTCTCGCTTGGGCCTGTTGCTGCAACTGTTGCAGAGGAGGCGGTGGTTGAGAAAACGATGCAGAAGCAGTGGGTGAAAGTAAAGGCGAGGATGGTAAGTTAGGTTGTGACTGGACGGACTTTTGGCTTGTCCATCCATCGTTTCGATCCAGAGCGGTTGGAGATGGAGTTTTAAAAGAAACCTGCAAGTAGTCAGTTGGTTGTAAACAAACACACACAGTTTATCAGAAGTTTAAAAAATGGGAAACACAAAGGAAACATACAAATGAACAATTCAGTGGTTTCTAACTTAAAATAAAAGTTAAGAATTTTACCTGCTTCACATCAGCCTCTGGAGCCAAAGTCACTCCTTTACGCAGAATGGTTTGCATGGCAATGTTCTGACGAGGACCTCTGCGACCAGTACCTACTGTAAGCCCACTGTCCTCGGATTCACCAAATTCTTTTTCTCTAGATTTCTCAAGAGACCCTTGTGGCTTTAGTATGCCTGTTCTCTTTTCTAAACACACAGAATTGAGGAATTCTGACTTGTCAAAATGTTTGATATTCATAATAACAAACAAAGAAGAAATACAAACCTGGCACTTTTGTAAGTTGTTCTACTATCACAGGTGGTACAGGGGGAGGACTCACAGCACCCCCAGGTGTTGATGTGCTGCTACCACCCCAACTGCCTGCATCGGAGGGCGATGGCGATGGTTGCTGAGGACACTGTCCAACTCCAAGACTTAATTGTTCTAGTTCTCGAATCAGCTCACTTGACGGGGCTTGGCCACTTGCTAAAGCCTCAAAAGACCGAATACTGGCCAGGCCTTCTCTGCTCTTGTCATGCATTTCTCTTGATACAAAAACAGAAAAAAGAAAAGGTTATTTAGGCAATTAAAAGCATGTCTTCCCTTACATGCACAAAAACTACCTGGATGATATAACTGCATTTTCTTCTTGCTTGGATAACCAAACACCAAATTGAACAAGTCTTGAGGCACGGAAGCGGTTTATTTCAGGTGTATCAATTTTGGAGTCTTCGCAATGGAACCTTTAATGACATAAGATGTAAGTCAGTTTCCATATTTATTGCCAAGACATAAAAGTAACGGAGAGATAGAAATAAATAATCATTATCAAACTCACGTTAACTCTTGCATAGCTTTAGTGAGTGGCAAAAAGCCATGAAGTTCTCTGTCCTCTGGGAGAGGGATTGATGAAACTGATAACAAGCAAATAACGTTATAACTAAAAATTCACTGACTGCTCTTTAAAACAAAAAAGACACAAAAAAAACTTATTTTTCACCACATTAACTGCAACCTGAGCACAAGCATGGTCACATTTGGGTAAATGTTAAGTTTCCTATGGCCAGGGCATTAAAATATACCAAGCCTATCTTTATATTCTTTCTTGGGACCTACCTTTGTTTGACTGATCTGAAGCATTGAGAAGAGGCTGTAAGCCATTTAGTAACTTGCACAAACTTGGCCAGATTTGCAACCGGGATGAGAAAGCTTGATTATTAAGTACATGAGGCTCGAGACGAATCCAGTCCAGAGTAAGTTTAACTAGAATCACAAAAATCATTAATGGTCATAAAATAAATCTATACCAATTACATTCGCAATAAAAATAAAAGACGAGCTTACTTGCAGGAAGAGCAAAATATTCAAGAAGAGCCTCATTCTCTCTGATAGTGTATACTGGCAATAAAAGAGCAGACAGGGAACCTGCTATGAGATCTAAAAGGAGGCTTTTGGCCTGTATCTCATCAGGTGACAATTTGGGAGCAAGATCATCTCTCTGGTCCCAATGCCTTTCATTTTCAGCAGGGAAAATGTTACCCCGAGCACGATGCAAGGCATATAAATTGACAGCCAACATCTGTTGACAAACGGATGTTAGACAAAGGATGGAGAATTGGTAGGTTGCGACTTTTCCTGTTGCTAACACACACCTGAACTAGCTTTCTAGATGTAAAGCTTTCGGTTGCCACCTGCGCTGTCAGTGTGTCAGTCAAGAGACGAATAGTACGACTGCAGGCTGTGAGATCTGCATTAAGATACAGCATCCCATGAAATTTGAGAAACAAGGCAACATATTCTTGAACTGTTAACTTGCTACGTCCATCCAAGTTCAACCTGTTAAACAGAAATATTACGTGGAAAATTACAAAGCAAAATGATAATCCACTTTATAATTCACATTACAGTACTGTATTTTTATTTCACTTTAGATGATAATACTTACTGATCTTCAGCAAACCTACTAAACATTCGCTTTAAATTTGTTGCAGCTGCAGGAAAAGGGTGTTTCACTGATACACTTTTGACATAGTGAAAAACTGTCCCAAGACGGTCTCCTCTACTGGAATCTAAGAGAGCCAACTGATTGTATGGTTGGCCTGAATGAGGGGAAAGCTGAACAGCATGCCTACTCAAAGAGGAAAACAATTGGATGAAATAGGCAATACGACAAGTAAATCATAAAACAGAAAAAATTAAATTAAAAGAAGAAAACCTGTAAAATGATTCTGCCTGACGATTCTGGTTGCGATATCGAGCAATGTCTCCAAGGTGAACTAGACAATGCTGACAAATGTAGGAACACGAAGTTGTATTAGGCTGTATGAGCCTGTTAGGAACATTGTTGTAGTTATCACTAATTCCATAGACTGAATCTCTCCTGCAAAGAAAATTAAGATGCAAAACATATGGGTTAACAAGTCATGTGGGTAATGTCCGAACCCGCTAAATTATTCGGACGTTACCCGGGTAATGTTCAGCCGATTTGACATTACCCAGAGGCCAGTGAGTAATGTCATTACCCGGGTAATGTCGACACTACCCACCCGCCGGACATTACCCGTAACATGTACATGTCATAGGCAATACATGTCAAAATTAACAATGGCTTACCTGCGGCAAGATAGATCCAGATCAAAAGCTGCACAAATTTCCTGCAGCAATGTCAGGTAAAAGCCACTAGCTGCTTCAAGACACCATGATAACATTGCTTGTGATTCAGTTCTCCTGGGATTCTGAGGGAAAAAAATCATTTATAATTTTTGAGCTCATTAACCACTATTAAGAAAAAAATGGCAGCAGCCAGAGGAAATAAATATTAACCTTTTTGTCTTTCACCATATTCTGAAGAATGCCAATGTAGTTTTTGAACCCATAGTTCCATAATTCCTGTTCCACTTTGCAATCAAGGGCATATTCCAAATCTTGTAAGAGAACTTGTTGATAAATACGCTGTTAATACAAATTAAGGCAAAAGACAATAAAATCAATTTATTACAGGAAGATGTGAAACTGGTGCGGATTTTAATTAATTTACTCACTTGCAACTGTTGTTGCCAAACCCAAGCATCTCCATCGTTCAGCAATTCTCGACAATTATTAACTTTCTCTTTTAGAACATCTGCTTTTCTGAAACAGATAAAGAAATCAAATTGGAGATATCTCGACAATATCTCATTGAGAGGAAAAAAGTCACAAATGGTTTCCCATTCAAAAACAATTTGAAAACTTACTTCAGTGCTTGAACTGCATCATTTAGGCCCATTATTCATCTGCAAATCGAAAATATGCAACAAAAGATAAAAATTCCACTTATGATAAAAGATTAACCATATTGTGATTCTGCCTTCCCACAACAAAAGTAACCAACTCAAAGACCTAACCTCAACAAGATAAAACTACACTTAAAAAGCGACTAGGTTTTTAGTACCGATTGAAAACTGATGACGAACTACTAACACAAAAATATTAGCTTCGCCAAAATCACAGTTCATCTAGTGTCAGAGAAGGCAACCACGGTACTAACGAATCTTGTTAGCTCATCAGAAAATGTTACTGAGCGATTTCTGACAGGTCTTGGACATGGGCAACAATCCACGCTAGTGCAGGACAGTATTTTCAATGAAGGTGAGCAGTACATTAAAGACAATGCCCTAAAAACAACCAGCATACAAATAATTTTTTTTGTAACGACGGAATGCAGTGAAAATTGATCCTCGAAATGTGTTACCATGGCCAATGTTTAGGCCTAAACCTTCGAAGCGGCTGTAGCCGACTGTGAACGATACTATTGAAATGACCAGACATTTAAGTGAAATTGGGAAGAAAATCTGTGATTTTCGGCTAGTTGCTCAGACTTCTGTAAACACGTGTACCCACCATTACAAATTAGAGTAATCCATAACATTCCCCCGTTTTCACCAGCTCGTCTGCTTCGCAGTACGTAGTCTGCTGTTGTTTGCTACTGCCTCCTTAACCCCCACCTCCACCGCAGCAGAAAGTGCTTGAAGTTCAGTTCGCAACTGAATGTGTTGAGCTACCCTATTTGACCCCAAATATTGATTTCGGATCTAATCCGGCTGAAGCAAGGGTAAGGGTCATTTTATCATCAGGATTTAGTTTCTGTTTTTCCATTCTTGGCATGCTGTGGATGTGTTATTCGTTAAAGGAACTTGTGTTGAGGTTACGTTTTCCTGCTGTGTACATTTTACCTACTTAATTTTTCGGCTACGTCTTCTAGTTGCCTCGTCTTCCATTCTCTCACTTTTTGTTTTGTTTTAAAGTCCAACAATGGTTTTAGTTCATGTTGGCATTGATTAACATATTTTTGCTGTGTGTGTTTCGAATGTCCTATACAACTTGTGAACTCTGTGATTTTTTTAGATTTGTTGTTGTTTTTATATAGTTTGCTTCTTGTATTGGCATGTACGTAAACCAGCTTTGTTGGAGAACCTACTTTCAATAGTCTGGGGTATTTGTTTGCATTGTCCTGTCTGTTTTACCGCTGAGCCCCCTCGTAGTAATTCCACCCCGTATTTGTAAAGGTTCCTGCATGTCAATAATGCCAACTACATTTGAGTCTGAGATAGCTGCGGAAGATGATGTAAGTCTGGATGGTTTTGTATTTTGTGTTTACTGTATGTTTACCTCATACTGGTTTGTGGTAATTTACAGAACAAATGTTTACTTGCTTTGTATGCGACTAACTTTAATCTAATCCTATTTCTTAGGTTCAAATAACTGTTCGCAACTTCATTGATGTGCCTCCTGAGCCCTGTGACAAAGAAATGGCAAATGGTTTAGATGAAGGTTGTGAGCTACAGCAGCTAGTTGGTGATGATGATGAAGTTCGGAGTGGAGCCACACCACCAGTCAGTCCTTCTTTGTGTAAAGCGGCTCAAGCTGCCCCGTCAACACCAAACAGCACAAAGGTAATTTTCATTTTTGTAGCTCAAATAAAACTAATTTTTGACTGAAACCATTATAGAATATGAATGTTAGGCGATTGTTTGTTTTCAATAATTTCACTAGACATAGTTTTTCTGTCAAGTCGAATGATATTGAAATGTCTGCATGCTGTCCATCCTATCTGTTAATGTGTGGCTTGTGCACTATTTAAAAAAAAAAAATATTAGCTGCTCCGTTTACACTTAAATGAAATTTTTGTAACTAATGTGTGGCAGAACAGTGGCTTTTTTTAATTTCCTTTTTTTTTAAATTTCAAATTTGCCTTTATAATCATTTTTAAAATTTTTCTGTTTTGGAGGTAGACTAGATTGTGTGCTTTAAGCATGTGCAGTTCAGATTTTCTTATTCGAGTCTTATTGATGCCTCTTCTCTACTAGACTCTGATTTGGTGAAGGATGTTATAGACCTCAAGCAATTTTAAATGTGTGTTTTAATAGCAACTTTCACTTTGAAATATGTCAGCTCACAGCTTCCTTTATTTGTTGCTTGACGGTTTTGGTTGTAATTGCATGTGCTTCATACATGGTTCATATTTTTCTCCTGTAGCAAGTAGTGAAGCGGCAAGAATATGAGCGCATTCCTACTTGTGATGATGATGCCATGCAGGTGTCAACCCCAGCTGGCCACGAGACTGCAAAAAATTGTACAGTCATTGGACCCAACTTAAGTCAGGGTACAAGTCAAGGCTCTGTAACATCACGATCTCTGAGTCGAACAGCAACTGCTCCAACAATAGCTAATGGTAATTTTATAAATCAAAGAATAATTGCCTTGTTAACTTTTTTGTCAATTCTTACCTTTCTACAACATTCCTTTCAGCAGGACAAAACACACGGCTGCTGTATGTTAATGAAAAACTATCCAGGGGTCCTTCTCTGATGTCTGACCATGGAGGTCCAAGATTGACTAGAGAGAGAACGCCTAAGGTTGGCCAAAGTGCTCCACGTGCGGAGATCAAAAGAGGTTTGTATTATTTTTTTCTGATACACTGGTTACTTAAATTAATAAAAAAAGAGCAGCCGATGAAACATTATCTTGTAATATGTAAAGCCAGAAACAGTTCGACCTCATCAGTATGGGGAAGAAATTTCATGCCTCTATCAGAAAGATATGTCTTAAAATTTTGAGATGTAGTTAAATGTTATTACTTTATGAATGAATTACCTGTGGGCTAAAAGTGGGCCTATGCTTGTATTTCAATGCTTTTGAATTAGTGAATGAACCAGCTTTGCATTTTAGATCCCTTTTACTGTGCAGTATTTAGCTTTTTGTAGAAAATCCATACATGTTAGAGGTAGTCAAAGGTGCTGACAAACCTAAGATCGCCTAAGATTACCAAGGTAATGTGAAGTGTGCAGTTCCATTTTGGGAAATGTCAAAATATTATTATTTGACCCAACATTACCTAAGAAAATTTGCACCGAACTAGAATTGATAGCCGTACCATATCTCGTTTTTTTGTTTGGAATGAAATGCAAGCTGCTTATCAGCATAAACATAAATGTATCAATGTATTTTTATTCAGCATGCCAATTCTGGCCTTTAATTTTTTTTTTGGATGACATGTAGGCAATTGTTCTTTGAAATTATTAGGATTCTCTCACCAGTTTCTAGTTACATTGTTAATCTTAAGCATGTTGTGCATGATGAGAGTTGAGGGAGACGTATAATCATTTTATTGACTTCATCCTTTGTTTCTTTGTTTTGATAACTCAAATTAGAGATGTCTCTGGCTTAAGTGAACTCTATGATTTCTTAAAAAATCAGCTTTGTATTTTGGTTTTTAGAATACTCATGGGTCTTTTGTATCAGTTCTTAATAATAATTTAGTTGCATCTTGGGTCTCCTGTAGTGTATAAGCAGTAAATTTTCATAATTCATATCTTTGGCTAGCTGTGGTACTCAATTTAGATATCTTATTTTTGTTTACTTGCATTGTTACTCACTGGCATTTTTCTTTTTTTTTTCTTTTGTTTTATGATTTGTGCATGGTCCTCTTCACTTTGCTCTCGATGGCACAACCCCTGTAAATGCACTGCCTGCTGCGTATGAAATGCATTTCCATGCAACACCAATTGCCTATCAGGAGCCACAAGTATAGGCCTGACCAGTACGGGGTCTCACAGTCAGCTGAGCCATCTACTTCATTCACGATCAAGATTGGCTCCCCAAGATACCCGATCGGCTCTGCGCAACAGATTGCGAGATCCTGATCGGTCATGTCAACATCACTGTTTTCTAACAGATGTAACAGACGTGCATCGAATGGAAGAAGCTCTACTGCATCTGCTCGAGGATTTCCACTCAGGCAAACTACGTGCTTTTGGTATGTGGCTGGTCGGACACGAAACTTATATGCTCATAGGTTCTTTCTGCACTTGACACTGATTTTCGTCCTCAGGCAAAGACTGCAGCATGGAGCAAATGACGGGCATTCGAGAGCAACAGGAACGTCTGGCCCGCCTCCATTTTGATTTAGGTGCTCAAGGAGAGCTGTTCTCACCATTGAGTGATGAGGGTCTCCGAGCCGGTCAAGAACACATGCAGAGCTTAATGGGAAGTTTAGAGCAGTTGAGTGTGTCTATTGAGCGTCTTCATTCCTTTAGTGAAAGTAGAGAAAGCACTCAGAAACCTGAATAGAACAGAAAATTATAATTGAATTCTTTGCTGCCTGAACAAGCTTTGCAGGACTGATGAAAGTAGTATCTTGTAATTTGTACTTTTTTACTTTCTTTATCAGACTTTATTTACAAATTTACATTGTAAGGTTTTCTTTTACTTTTTTTGTTCACAACCATTGATGACATTGATTTTCTATATGTTTACAAATGAATTATATATTTTGATCATTTGGAAGGTCTAATGAGTGATGTATTTGTTCGTACTCTGTGGCCGTGGCCTTGTGCACCTGCAGAGGTATGTGAGTTGAGGTAGTTAGTTTCTATTTCCTCTGATAGCTCATGATTGTTTTGATTTAATATTTATGTTGTATTAGCACTTTTACTGTATATTCAAATCTGTGATGATTCTTATATTAAGTATTCATGGTGTTAAGTTGGGGTTCTTGAATTTCTTTTTAAGAAAATTTTTCAATGCATATTTTTTCATAAATCTTAATTAACCAAGGTAACTTCAAGGGTATCATATTGTACTGTAATGTGTTTATTTTGTATCACTGCCAAGCAAGATGCAACTGTGATGAGAGGTAGAATATACTTTTGTTATCATTGAAACATTTGAATAATGTGTTGTGTGAAATACACCACCCACATCCATGGAGGCAATCAATTGAGCATGAGAGAAAAAAAAGGCATGTTCAATTAAACCATTGAAATTTATTGAAATTTAATACAAAAATATTACTGTCCTTGGGGGCTCTCAACTACCATACCAGTCAATAGATAGCCCCCACTACCAGTCATATTGACAAGAGGATGAGTTCGGTCTGACTCGATTTGATAATTTCTGAGCCACGTGTCAGTGAGTCTGAGGTTAATTAAATCTGATCGCTGACTGAGCTCCACCAGTAGTTCTTGAAGAGGTTCTCTAACCTGACCAAAAACAACAAAATTACGAGAAGGAGCTACAAAAGGCAGGAGGGCATTCAAGATAGACTGAGGATGTTCTCTGCAAACTAGCACTAAACCATCTACTTGAGATCTTAGTGATTGGGCTGCCCTGTCAGTTTCAACCTCCCAGCGAGACTTCTTTTTGGCAGAGCCTTCGTCATTACCACATTCACTATGCTTCCTCTTTCCCGAAGAATTGTTTTCTTGATCAGAGTTTGCAAGCACTTCATCGCAGTCCATTTCAGCTTTGGCAGTCTTATCCTCATTATCTGCAGAGAGAATAGCAGGTTCTTCCACAGCACTGCTAATTGTTGTTTCTTTTAGACATGGTTTAGAAACACCAATTCCCTCTTCTTGGGTCCCCAAATCGTCACATTTGATATCTTGAACGTCAGCACTCTCCCCTTTCAGCTTTCTCAAAAGATTGTAAATGTTAACACTGATCAGACAGTTTTCTTGCTCTTCCGTCAAATTAAGAGCTAGTAGTGCACTCTTTTGGGGGTAGTTTCCAGGATGAACAAGCACCAGTCTTCCCTCATCGCACAGGCCATTCAGCATTGTTGCAGCAGCCAAACCTTGACACCCACTCTCATACAGTATATAGGTTCCATGTGAATGTAAATTTACAGCTGTGTTCAACTGTGATAGGGTGTCCACTCTAAGACCTAAAATCTTTTGCTGATCAAGGCGAAACATTGTTTCTGCAACAAGACGTACAGTGGGCTTCCTCACTGTTATGTATTCAAAATACTTCTTTTCTTTCTTCTTCAAGTACTTTTGTTGAGAATATTCTGTTTTGCAGTGAAATGTCTTGCTGTTTTCTATGAGAGTTCCAACAATTTCTTTAGATGAAAGGCCCTCATCCCTTAAATTGACAATTTCTTCCATGGACAGTTTTTGACTGCTTCCATCATCTACTATATTTCGGTTATCTGTTCCACTAATTGCGCTATTCGCATTGCTCATTGTAATGGAATCTCCTTTCAGATCATGAACACTGCATTCTTTCAAAGTATAAAATCGTTTTCCTCCTTTCTTTTGTTCCATGCGATAAGAGGTCCATACAGGTTTCCCTATCACACTGCCTATTTCCAAAATATCCTTGCCCAGGTTGACAGTTCCGTTTGCTGATACTTTGTGCAACTTGAAGTAGTCTTGTCTTTGAATCGCTATGTAGTCACCAGCTTTCACAATATCCAAATTGTTGGCCATGGTAGTCTTAAAAGAACCTGGAAAACACTTCAAATATGAATGAATGCGAACGGAAAGGGAGTTGATCAAACGATGCGGCAATGTGCAACTTACAGGTTAGGCTGCAACAGCTGTCTAATTACGTGAAAGATTTCCACGTTACAGCTGGATATTGGAAAAAAATCTCAATAAAGGCTCCAGAAGATTTATTTTGGTGACTAATTGTGAAGTGTCAGTCAAATGTAAACGAAAATTAGTGTTACCATGCGTTTTTTTGCATCAACCAAAACAACCAGGGGAGCCAGCAGCCGAGCAGCCAATGTTGCCAAATGTCCGCTACTCACTGTCGCCGCCGCCAGAGCGCGCTGGAGGAAGACTGAGTCGCGCGAGATTCAAATCGTGCGGTCAACCAGCGATACTGTACGTAGTTTAGTTTGAGGGATGAGTACCTCTACTCATTGGGAACGCAACAAAAAAAAAAAAAACGCTTAGAATTTCTTGTATCATGTATTTTAAACCTTTTTAATACAATCTTCAACCAGTTCACATCAAAATACAGCAGGAAAGGGATGGGAATTCCATAGATTGACGAAATGTTACAATCACCATTTCCATCTGCACTAACCACATGACACAATTAATTACAAAAGCCTCCAACATCTCAGAGGTAACAACATTCTTATTATCACATGGCAACAGAGAAATTGTACATACAAAAACACTAAGAACGCATACAGTTATTGCCTTATGTGCAAAACCTAGTCCATACAGTTTGTGTCTTCAAACTTGTGTGTTAACATTGTACCGTAGAAGCCCCAGGTTTGGTTGTTCTGATTAGAACTAACCTGAACAGTCATTGTCCAATAGTATTTCAAGAATGAAGAGAATGTTCATGAACCCTCAGGCAACACATATGCGCACACACACGCGCGCGCGCTCACACATACATACACACACAGATTATTAAGTGAGATCGATAACTGAATCTTCGAATGTTTGGCCCCGAGTACATAAAACTAAACAAAATGATGGAGCTTCAGGAGGACAAAGTATAATTACAATAAATCAGATTATCAATCTCTTAAAGAATACCCCTACATACCAGAAGGTTCAGCACCACATCAATAATGAATGCCGTGTTCTGCTGATTCAAATCCTTACAACTCTTAAGCCAACAATAATTAGTTCATACAAATTCATTAAAATCCTAAGACAAGAGACAGTCTTCTTGTATACCTTTGTGCAAAGTTAGATCCTTTGAACACAAGCCAATAAAAATGTTGTTCTGTACAAAATTTCCAGTTAACTAAAATTTTTCACATTCACACAAAATAAATAATTTGAAAACATGATTATGTACACAATTCAAACCTATTAAAATAATAAACTAGTTTCACATTCAATGCCAAAATAAAGGGCAAAATATAAAACTGATTCAATGGATCAATTTCCTTTTTTTCCAGAATTTGTAATAGGTGTGGCCTTTATTTTAACTAGACTTTTCACCTCTCCTCATTCAGAAATGCAACATATAAGCTGTGTTTGTAATATCTGGTAGGCCAATTCACATTACAAACATTTCAATTGATTAGAATATTGATTCATTTCCATGAGAGGGAATATTCTAGTTTTGACTGGGAATTGATAAAAATAATAGGGGTTGCTGGTTTACAACATAAATAATTGTACATAATGTGTTCGTACAAAATTCATCTCTTTGCTTTATGAATATTGATTTAACATAGATAATGTCAAGCAACCCCTGAAAATAACACACAGCAAGACATGCCTCTTCACACTATTGTTAACATGGTTTTCCTTAGTAGACTTACTCCTGTTGGCAGTGATTAGGATATGGTAACACAGTTCAGTGTTTTAAATCATAATGAATGGAAAAATAGAACTTATGTTGTACAAATAAACATGTACAAGTCATCTACAGAACTGTTTAGAATCTCACAGCACCATTTAATAATTCATTCACACATTCCACTCATTCAAAAATAAAGTATAAACTTCAGCGGCTAAGTCTTGATTAACAACAAAGTCAACGACTAGCCCACAAGGACATGAGGACTACTTTCGATTCTCTAAACTCGGGCACCATACAACTTCATGCAAAAGTTTCATGCACTTTATTTCAGTGATAAATGGCATCATGGTGCTTAATAAGTAAAGGTATAAAGTGGGCCAGCATCATTTAAAGAACAACAACATAAAGTCTTATCTTAAAGTGAACTTGCAAGACTTAATTGTAAGCTCATGCCATGCATCCCTGAAGACTTATGGAGAAAGAACTTATACTTCCAAAGCTTTCTTAAAAATGGTATCCTGTGATGCCAACCTGACCAAATCACTTTCTGTTAACATGCATGAGTCGAACCACTTGTGCCTGGTCAGGTGGAGGGTTCTTAAAGTGTGCGCTTATTTTTTTTTGTTGATTTCAGGGGAAAATTGTATTGAATCTTATAAAATAGTGTGTCATACATGTGCACAACACATTTTCACCAATTATCAACACAAGCTTATTGAAGCAAGTTACAAAGGAAATACACAATTCTTAATTTCAACAATTTAAATTAAGCTTGATTGATTACTTGTCCTCAAATTCTTTGGTATACAATTTTTAATACATGCACCAAGTCTACCTTTAAAGTAAGTCATAACAAAAATAAAACTAAATGTACTGAAACCGTTACATTGGAATTAAGTACAGGCATCATGTTAGCTTGGAATGTTAGTTATTAGACGTTTCAGTTGCTAAAGCAACATGCAAAAGGGGGAGGGATATATTTCAGTCTTAAAGTCACAGAGATGGATGCTAGTGTGAAAAGAATGCCAAATAGGAATAGTGTCTCAAGACGCAATACTGCTACAGACATGCTTTACCCAATTAATACCTGAACATGGATAGCCTTCAATACGCAGGCTCAACAACAGAAAATTTCACACCAATGATCTTCATTGGCTGTGAGACTTTGTCACTCAAGTGAGTGTATAAAGAGACATCAATCTAAGATAAATACTGACCAATCAAAGAAAAAAAAATGAAGAGAAAAGACACTAACAGAAAGCAAATACTGTGCTCAGTGTTTGTTCACTTTATAAAAAAAACACATTCTAGAACAGTTTTACACATAAAATAATACATCATACTACACATTTATATGACAAGTAATAAAAGTAAAAGCTACAACTTACAATTATAGATGTAAAATGATATACAAAATCAAATATTTACAAATGGGCATGGCATGAATTTTATATATCATATAACATAAGATTACCATGAACAAAAACCTAACATCTATGTCCCTTGCATTTAATTCATAACAAACAATAATTGTTGATTTCTTCAAAGCCGTCATAGTTTCCCTATAAATCACACAACTACAGTGTTTGTTCATAATCATGAACTGAATGAGATAAGGTTGTTACTTTACAGTTCATGGATGTTCTAATAATCACAGACTGTGGATATATTGGCAGCTTCAATCTCTTATACCACTTAGGTCCTCCCAAAATACTGCTCAGACATTTGATCAATAATTTAAAATATTCCTAAGTAAACAATGGGGACTCATCAATTTGATTTGTCAGACAAAGCCTAGAGCTCAGAATAGGGGAGGGGATTTGGGAGAAAAGATTTGAGCACTTAAAACAGTAGGCACAGGGTTCATAAAAGGAATGCAAACCAGTGCAAAGTCATCTTCAATCCCGAGACAAAATTTTGAACAAATAAAATAATCAGAACCTTGGTCGTTGTCAAAAAAATGAAAGAAAGGAATGAAAATAATCAGGTTACCAAAGAATTGGAACAATAGTTTCTTAAGTCACCATATTAAAACAATTTAAATAATAGTCCCTTAATTTGGAATAGTAGTCTTGAATCAGAACACTGGTTGCTACAAGAGCGGCCTCTTCCTCACTTTGAGCTTCTTCTATGTGGGGTGAAAGTACATCAGGGACCACATCTGGACGTACAGCCCCTGATGTACGCCACTCTCAACACCAAGATTCAGATGCTGGAGTGTGGTAGTTTTCATCCTCTTCATCGCTTGGATCCTCTCCATACATGTCTGCCAATTTGCGGAAACGTGGTCCGAAACTTGAGAGGTAGTCAAAGTTCAGATCACCCTCATCAGTACCTGTGAGACAAAGGTAAAATATGATTCACACAATGAATTGGCATGTCTTTTATAAAAATAAACGAAACAAAAAATAAAAATAACAACAATTCTGACCTGATGCAAGAGAGGACAATGAACCAGAGGTGTTACCATCACCTTCATAAGCATAGTGACGAACATCATCAAATGGATTTGTTTCAGGGTCAGCGTCAACTGTTTGTTTCTTTCCATCAAGGAAACCACAAATGTCTGGAACATCATCTGCCAAAGAAAACAACCAATTGAGTTATTTATTACAGAATTACAATGAAGATAATGGTAGATACAGAAAGTCTAATTTTACAGGGGGCCAGGATAATACTGACCTCTTCTTTGCACATGGTTTGATTGAGGGGATTTGTCATGAGGAAGACTATAGTTATCACCATCATACTGCAAGCGCAGCACGTTGAGGTCGTAGCCAGTCATATCACCCTCACCACCACCTTCATCTTCATAATTGATGATATTTTCGCGAATATCATCGGTGTCCTTGTAGAGATCATCAGACTTGCGACGATGCACAACAACAGCAAGAAGCAAGACTGTAAGAAAATTGAAGTTTTTGTTAAACGATGCTTACATTATTATTGATGAAACTATTTGTAACAAAAGCACTTACTAAGAAGGATCGCAATGCACACGAGAATAGCAACAAGGAAATTTGTGTCAATCCCAAAAGAAACAGCTTTGGCCATTCCGGTGTTGCAGCCAGGGTCTGCATTCTTTGATAAACTTGGCATGCCCAGGTTGTAAGTCTGTCACGAAAAACAAAATTACTTCACATTATTTGACTGAAAAGGGAAGAAAAAAAGGTGTGAGTGTAAAAACAGACAACATTAAAACATATGTCACCTTTTGATTGAATGTGAAATTTCTGACACATCCACTGTAACCTAAATCCATGGGTTTATGAGTCCAGTTGAAAGAGCTGGCCAGGCCTCTGAGGCTGACAGCAGATCCACCAACTTGAAGTGGACCGTTTACATTTAGGAATTCATTGGGGCCTTGAGGTGGTTGCAAAGCAAGACATGATAGAGTTTGACAGCTGTCTACTTTCATTTCAATACTCTGTGCAGAAAAAAAATATCAACATGAACTCACTATTTTCCAGGTGTACAAGAAGCAATAAAAAGAAAATATATTACAAGTACCTTGTCACTCCAAAGAATGTCAATGCGGTGACTTTCACCATCATTCAAGTTAATTTTGGAATGTTCCATCCGAACAGTGCCTGAACCATAATCAACGTATAGAACTGGGAAACCATTGCGCAGTTCCAGAGCCATAAAATCTGAAATATAACAAAAAAAAATTTAAATGCCAATTTTTAATTTGAAAAAAAAAAATGTAATTAAGAACTTGGTTTTGTTAACCACATCATACCTTGAACAGGCAAAACAGGATTATGCTTCATGGGACCCACATAAAACACAAGCCCATCGGGTTTGTAGGGACGTAGCTCCATTGTTAGGTGAGCTTCAGCACATGCTTGGAACGGAGGATATAATGCATATCCATCACCATAAAATCCAATACCAACAACTTCGCAATTAGGTCCATCAAAACCTTCCATGCACTCACAACTACAACATGAAGAACAAATAAATTATTAGAAACCTTGTCTAAATAGAGACTGTTAAGAAATTTAAAAAGAACAGTGATTTCTCACCTATCACCAATACGAGTTCCACCATTTAGACATCGTATCTCAGGGTTTGGTTGGCATTCACAAGCAGGATCGACCACAGCGTTCACTCCAACAAATGATGAGGTGTTTGTGTAGACAGCATAAGGAGTGGAGCTTTTGCTGAGAATGTTGGTGCAAGAGGATTCACAGAAGGTTTTCTCAACCAAGCATTCATCAATACTGACCATGAGAATAGAGACACCCAGTTCTCTTTCAATCTAGAATAGAGGACAAGTTTTGTTAACAAAGTTTTAAAAGTAAAATGTCATTGTTTGCGTCAAAACCTAGTAAAATTAAGTCCACACCTGTTCTTGATGCTTCAGAACGGCAGTATTTAACCTTTCAGGATAGTAATAAGGAGAACCATGTGCAGAAAATCTGACATCCAACAGACTTGTGTTTGTGTTATGGGGGGAATGTAGTACAGTGAAGACATCGACATTGTGTATGCTCACATTTAACATATGAGCAATCCGATTGCGTAACAATTCCTGTTTACTAATGCCGTGCTGTAATTGTTGAAGAAATTGAAACACATTAAATACTGGATTGGTAGAAAGTGTGTCAAACTTACATAACATACAACAGAAAAAAATAGTACCTCATTTGGGCTGACAAAATCCTCAGCAGTCACTCCAACAAACCTTATGGAACCAGACTTGTCTACAGCCTCTTCTGGGATTTCTTTTACAGTAACGTTCACAACAGCTTCAACAGAATGGTGGGAAATCAGCGCACTTTCTTCAGTAACCTTTCAAAGATAGATAGAATAGAAAATATGTTAATAAAGACAGGAACAAAGCAGTTTTGAAAATTTGATACTTTGTGTGTTTGAGTTTGTCACTACAAAGTAACGTTTTTAGAAGATTGAAGAAAACTTACTGTGAAGTGAAGTTCATAAGTTCCATTAGGAGTTCCCTGATACATGGTGATCATGCCAGAGCCACTATTCAAATTGAAATGAGGATGTTGGCTGTTGCCCGTCCATGCAAAATACTTGTCAGGCAAGTCCCAATCATCAGGATCATCAACATACACTCGACCAATTTCTGTGTCTGGAGATTCACCCTGTGGAAAGTTCAAGTAAGAATTTAAGTTTGTGAACGAACAAGGAATAACTTTTGAGGGAAATCATCTGCAACCGTACCTTGTAGTTGTAGACAAAAATAGAACTTTGTCCAGATTTCATCGCATTGTCATTCTGATCACCAATAATTACATTCAATGTACTGGTTCCTGTCATTGTTGGAACACCACTGTCTGTTATCATTATGGGAACTTGATAGCTCTTCTTTTCCTCTCGGTCAAAGACAACCAACGCTCTCAACTCAGTGTCTACAAAGAAACAAACAGCTGTAAGCACTGCCATACACATCAAACAATAGCAATAGCATAGTTGGGAAAAGGAAACTTACTGTAGATGCCAAACTTCAATTTGATTTCTTCATCTGCAATGGGGGCAATGGCATAACTGAAGGGTGGGCCATTTTCTGGACCATCATTATCCTTTGCATGAAGGTCAGTGATTTTCCCCGGTTGTAGGTTCTCTCTCCAAATAACAGGATAAGGCTGAAAAGAAATAGTTCAATTGAGTAAATGAGCCAACAACCAAACCGATTCTAAGCTGAAATGAAACATACCATATCCAGGTAAGGGGCATTGTCGTTTATGTCAGTAAGTGTTATCACAACTTCAGTGGTTGATCGCAAACTTGTTGAATTTCCATTTTCATCATTAGCAGCAATCAGAATCTGCCAAATTTCAAAACCATCTGGGGGATCTCGGTCCAAAGGCTGAAAGGAAAAGAAAATCGTTGTAGACTTTTGGCTGAGGTAAAGAAATAGGAGCAGTAGAGAGCACACTAAAAATAGCACACCTTTGTTAGAGAAAGACATCCGTGTTTATCAATAGAAAGGAATTTTTGCTGGTCTTGCTTTACAACAAAGTAAACAATGTATTGCTCAGCTTTACGGTCTGGTATGTCAGGATCATAAGCCTTTAACTCTGTTATACAGCCACCAACAAGTTTCTCTTCAGGGATGGTGATATTATTATCATATGGGTAGAACACAGGTGGGTTGTCATTTACATTCGAAATTTTGATTTCTACTCTGCAATAATCCTCAAAAGCTCCATCAAAGGCACGGACTCTTAAGGTATACTGAAACAAACAAAGAAATCATCATTTCATGTTCAAACTTCCTTTAATAGCCACACATTGGCAAACACTACTAAACTTACGCTTGTAATATTTTCATAGTCCAGCTGGTTGTAGACCCTGACTTTCCCTGTAGTTGGCTCTATAAAAAATGCATTGTAAGTATTACCCTCCACAATACTGTAAGTTACAGGTGACGCTGTGTCATTGTCCAGAGCCTTCACTTCTGTCACAAGTGCATTAATATTTGCATCTTCAGGGATGGCCTCAGCAACATAGACATCTTGAGTGAAGCGAGGTGGATGATCATTTTTATCCGCGATTTCAATGCGAAAGACTTGTTCTCCTAATGTTACAGAAAGGAAAAATATTAGAGTTTTTTAAGTTTCAGCATTGTGCAATGAAGCAAGTGGTAATTTATCAAGCAGCACTTACCTTTATTGGGTTCCCCAGTGCTGTATAGAGCAGAGGGTGAATTGTCAGTTGCAATTACTTTCACATTGTAAGAATCTCTTTCCTCACGATCAAAGGTTTTTAAAGTTGTTATGTTGCCAGTATAACGATCAATGGCAAAAAAATCTTGTTGGTCACCAAGCTCGTATGTGACTTGGTTGTGGGCTGACGTAGCATCGGAGTCTATGGCTCTCACTTGCATAACTGGAGTACCTGGAGGTTCATTTTCCAAAACACTACCAGAAACCACCTCAGTAAAGGATGGAATATTGTCATTCACATCTTCAACTTGAATGTTAATTTTAGTTTCAGCAGCAAGATTGTATTTGTTCTGAAAATGAATAATGCCAAATTAGATATGATAAGATTAGAACAGTCTTTACTCTTTGTTAAAACACATACCTGAATGCGGACAGTGAGTGTATATTCTGATATTGACTCAAAATCCATCGGCCGCGCCATTCGAATATAGGCAGTGTTGCCATGAGGAGTTAGGAGGAAAGTCTGCTGTTTATTGGTCTGATCAGTTCTTCCAGCAACCAACTCAAAAACAGGAGCTTTTTCATCAGTGTTGGACCTGTTTCAAAACAGACGGTTCATGAAATTGTTTGAAACTTAAGTCATCAAAATGGGAAGTGGCCGAACTCTCACAGCAAACTTACTGAGCAGTGATGGTAGCAATGTTAAATTCATAATCAATAAAATTTTCTTTCAAAACAATGGGCCCTTCAGGCTCGATTCTGGTAAAAGAAGGTGCTTTCTTGTGAGACTCAACAACAACAATTTCCAAATCAATAGATGTGCTCTTTGGTTCTATGCCCTGATCAGTGGCTGTCGCCCGCATCCTGAAGCGGTAGCTTGGATCTCGCTGAAACAGTTCAGAAGAAATTCAAGTAATGGCAAAAACAGGGAAAAGGAAAATAAAAGAAAATAATCACTAAGGAGCTAACTTACATCAATGTTTTTAGCCAAGTAAATGACACCTGTGTGGCGATCAACACGGAAGTATCCTTCATCTTCTGGCATTCTGGGCTCCAAATCGTACAGTACAAAACTATTGTTGCCATCATCAACATCGGTAGCAGAAATTCGCATCACTTCTCTACCAACCACCAAATCTTGAGGAACTGATTCAGCATAATTCTGAAGAAGAATGGATACCATGGTTAGACAGTCATTTCACACAAGCGGCTTTTCCTTCCATTTCCCATGTGGTCTTGATAGTTTCACCAATACCTAATACCTTGATGGAAACTAAGTCTAAAAAATGTTCCTTTAATGCAAGAATGTTTTTGACTGAATTTACAACAGAAATTTGTGCTATATTAATATTTGAGTGATGAATGGTTGTACCCACCACTGTCAGTGAAACCAGTATTTACAGTGTACTTGCCCTCAGTCAACTCAACTACATTTGCTAATTTTTACTGACTAAAATTGCAGCCTTATCATTAACGCTGCTTTGTTTTCTCCATGCATCTAATTGTTTAAAACTTAATGCACTACACAGCTGAAGTCTACTGTCAATTTGGCAAAGAAAGATTTAAGATAAACACTAATGCAAGACAATATGAATTAACAACAAAAAGAAAAAACAAAGAAAAGAACCAAAACAATAACATTATAAAATTAGACTTTAAGATAAAATGAAAAAGAAAAAAAAAATTGGGGCAAATCTAAAAAATGTCAGCATTAAAAAGTAAAAATAATAATGCAGTCTTGTGCAAAAAAGTAAAGCAATGATGTTAAAGTGGAAAGAAACTGCCTGATTAATGGCAACTATTTTGGCTGAAATTATTAGAATGGCAAGACATTATCATGCAAGACACAATGTTCACAAACCTTCCAGTGGCTTCGATAGTCCTGGACGCAAAGAAAAAGACGGTAATATTTATTTAAATGACCTCATTCTCAAGATGTTTTTTTAATTTGTTTAAAACTAGCATAAGACGTCCTGATGGTTATTAAAATTACATAAACAAATACAGTTCTACAGATACTGACCACTTTGTCGAAAACTGGTTGGTTGTCATTGATGTCTTCGATGGTCACCTTGATGGTGCACACATCATCAAGCTGCGGTTTGCCGTTGTCAGTAGCCCGAACAGTGAGATAAACCTCCTTCTCCCTAGTTGGCTCATCTCGATCAAAGGTCTGGGAAAAAGCCAAATTGTTGTCAAAAAAAACGAAAATAATTTCTGCGAACTGTCAGAGCATGTTTGGGATGTACTACTCACATATCTGGTGGTAATGACACCGGTGTCAGCATTGATGCTGAACTTGAGCCTTTCATTCGGCGCAGACACGAAAGTGTAGACGATTTTTCCTCCGTTTTCAGGAGGGTCTTTGTCGTACGCTTTCACCTGGAAACACAAACAGACACCCATGTCAGTCAGCGAAGGCCTGTCCGGGTGGCTTGACGCCGCTACACTGCTACTCACCGTGAGCACGGGCGTGCCCAGGGGCTCCTCCTCCTTGATGACGGGCTGGTAGCGGGAGCAGTTGGTGAACACGGGCTTGTGGTTGTCGTGCACGGTCAGCCGCGTGCCGGAGAACTGTGAGCAGACGACAGAGTTCACCATCAACATCAACATCGACATGAGCTTCACCACGGCCGCCATGGCGCAGTAGGAGGGCACGCCTCGTCCGACGCGACCGCGACCGCCTCGCGCCGAGCACTCGAGCAGTCTCGGGCGTCGACCGGCAAAACAGGAGTCAGCACAGAGTCAGCTCGGTGGCCAGGGCTGCCAGAAGCCGGCACGCTCCCTCTTCCCGCCGCGGTCGGCACTGGGACGCCAGGCCACGCCTGGGCCACGCCACCACGCGCCAGCAGCAGAGCGACGACAGCCGACGACAGCCGACAGCCCGGGCGGGGCAGGGCGCGGCCGGCGCAGTCGCTGCGGTGCACGTCAGCATACGGCACCGACGACGACGCCGCCACAACAAGGCACGCCTTCTGCGTCTACAGTCTACGCGAAAGCTTGTACGCATCCGATCGCGTTTCCCCTACGGTTCCCAGAACTCCCCCGCGTCGCGGCTGGCGCTCTGGGCCTGCCTGGGCCTTCCCTCGCGCTGCGCCGCGCTCGCCGCGCTACCCCGGCCGCCGTCTGGGAATACTCCCCGCCGCGAGGAGCAGACGCCGCGCTGCCGCCGCCGTGATGCTGCCCTTCTTGCTCTCCTCGCGGGACTCGGAAGGGAAGGAGCGCGGAAAGGAGACAGAGAGGGTCGGGGCCGTCGGGGCCGTCGGGGCGGAGCCAGAGGGAGTGAGAGGGACGCAGAGGGCATAAGCGCCTTTCCGCGAAACACGCCCCCACCCCCACCCGCAGCCCGCACGGCCCGCACCACGCGCGCCGCGTAACGCCAACCGCGTCGCTCGCACAGACCGCCACGAGAGAGAAGGAAAAAGACATCAAATATTCGCATATTTTTCTTCATGAAAACAAAACAAGAGTGCAGCGGCGCGCGATGCAGCAACATTGCGGTGCACACAGACAGGCGGGCGGCGGGGCGTGGCGGGGCGTCCCACTCGAGCGGGGACGGAGGCGGCAAGCCAACCCTTTGCAAGGGGCCGCCACGCAGGCAGGCAGGCAGGCAGGCAGGCGCCGCGTCCGTGACCCCGTCGCAACACTGGGAAACGGCAGAGCACGGTAACGGGACAACCGACCGGGGCCGGAGGAACGCGTTCAAAAGCGGGTAGGTCACGGTTGTCAAAAAATATTACTTTAAAAAAAAAATCCCCGAGGAATGCAAGAGGGGAAAAGGGCTTTTGCTGGACATCAATTATGAAGGAAGCCTTTTGCCACCACACCAGGCACACCACACCCGGCCTGTTTGCCGCCGTGTTTGCCCCAGCTTGCCCGCCCCGCCTCATATCACACCTGTCCTCGCCCCGCCCCCCTTTGGCCCCCGCCCCCTCCCGCCGGGAAATCTTTTCACGGGGGGTTTCATTATGTATATGGAAGCTGGCAGTGCCGGCACGGCAGTGCTGGCACGCTGCAAGCAAAGGGCGGCTGGCGCGGCGGCCATCTTTGTTTCATCACAATTCTACCTCACTTCGGATATTCATAAAAAAAGGAAAGCACAATGAAGAGAGCCGCGAAATGGCTCCGCCCGGCGCTCCGCCCGGCGCGCGCGCTGCACACGTGCTGCGGGCTGTTTCGTGACACGAGGTCAGGCGAAACAACAAGGAACACAAACACAAACGCGGGGCGGGGCGCGGCACTAGAACCCGCGAAAGTGGCGAGGACGGGCGGGGAGGAGGCCCGACTGCGCGCCGCGCTGCGCCGCGCCCCGGTGCGCCTGGCGGAGTGGGGCCGCGTCATCACCCCGCTCAAACAGACGGAGGCCGACGAGGAGGCGAGAAGGGTGGCGGGCTGGCGGGCTCACATGTTGGCATGTCGGGGAGGTCGTGGGGGTAGGGTGGGGTGGGGGGGATTCTTAATGAGAGCTGAATGTTACATGAGAGTGTCACCTGGACAACCACGGGGTGGAGAGAGGCCGGTCGGGGCCGGGCCTTGGCGGGGGCCTTGGCGGGGGTTGCTTGGCCGGGGCCGCGAGCGAGTCCTTGACGGAATCCTTGCATGAAAGAGGTCCTCCCGTTTCCATCTTTCAGGAGAAGAAAAGGTTCGGTCGGATGCACGCCGCGCCGCGCCACGCCCCGCCACGACTCAAATATTCAACAAGTTCCCCCTTCCCTTCTCTCGCTTCCCGTATGGAAAAAATCGTCTGCGAATGCATTGCTTTTTGTCGGCTTAATCGGATCGTTTGCGGACCGTTCTCAGCTAGACGGCAGACAAATCGCGATCAAGACGCAGTCAACTCTAAGACAGGACGCAAACAGGGGCCAGACAGGATTCGGACTTGGGCCCGCAGTGCATGCGCGGGCAAAAGTCAGGCCGAAAGTAGCGTGTTCGCAGACACGGCGCGGCCCATCCGCCGACCGTCCGCAGACCGTCCGCAGACAAATAAGTACCTCAATCGGTCTGCGGAACGTCTGCGGACTGTGAGGTGTCGGAGCTCGGCTCGGCACAGCTACGTCACAGCTCGTCTTCAGGTCGTCTACGGAACGTTTGCGGAAGGTGTGGTGAACGTCTGCGAACCGTCTGCGATTCGTCGGGAATCAAACAACAACACAAACAAAAACAAGAGCGTGAGTCGCGGCCTGGGCGACTCGAACCCGCAGCCTTTGGGCTGCTGTTCAGAGACGCTACCCACTTGGCCAGAGTGGGAAGTCTGAGAGGAGCGTCGCGAGGCTGCGTCAAGTTCCGCGCAGCCGCCCCGACTTCGGTTACCGGACTTGCAAAACAATGTGAACGATCTACAAATCAAAGTGTTTACTTGTGCGCTGTAACTGGAGCGTACTTGTCTATGTACGCTGCAACTAGAGCGTACTTGGCAAGTACGTAGTGCGTACACTATATTTGAAGCGGACATCAGACAAGTACGCTCCAGTTACAGCGCACAAGTAAACACTTTGATTTGTAGATCGTTCACATTGTTTTGCAAGTCCGGTAACCGAAGTCGGGGCGGCTGCGCGGAACTTGACGCAGCCTCGCGACGCTCCTCTCAGACTTCCCACTCTGGCCAAGTGGGTAGCGTCTCTGACCAGCAGCCCAAAGACTGCGGGTTCGAATCGCCCAGGCCGCGACTCACGCTCTTGTTTTTGTTTGTGTTGTTGTTTGATTCCCGACGAATCGCAGACGGTTCGCAGACGTTCACCACACCTTCCGCAAACGTTCCGTAGACGACCTGAAGACGAGCTGTGACGTAGCTGTGCCGAGCCGAGCTCCGACACCCCACAGTCCGCAGACGTTCCGCAGACCGATTGAGGTACTTATTTGTCTGCGGACGGTCTGCGGACGGTCGGCGGATGGGCCGCGCCGTGTCTGCGAACACGCTACTTTCGGCCTGACTTTTGCCCGCGCATGCACTGCGGGCCCAAGTCCGAATCCTGTCTGGCCCCTGTTTGCGTCCTGTCTTAGAGTTGACTGCGTCTTGATCGCGATTTGTCTGCCGTCTAGCTGAGAACGGTCCGCAAACGATCCGATTAAGCCGACAAAAAGCAATGCATTCGCAGACGATTTTTTCCATACGGGTTTTAACGTTATCCCTCGGCGGATGCATACTTGAGCAAACCGCACGCACCACTCTCCCGTTATTATTTCACATCAAACCGTAATTCTTTCCAAGCCACGACTCCAGGAGCACGAGCAGCTAAACCCTTCCCGACGCCAGAAAGCTAAACACGACAGCAAAAAAATAACAAAAACCCGCCCCGCGCCGGGGGGGTTCGAACCCGCGCCTGCCCGCACGTGACCCGTATGCGCGAATCTCCCGCGCCTCGAGCGTGCGAGCTGGGCTGCCAGCCAGGGGCCGGGCTGGGGCTGAGCTGAGGCGCACGCAAAGACTCGCTCGCTCCGCCATGCTCGCCCGGCCCCGCCGTAACAGTTTGTCGGCACGGCACGGCAGGATATTGCCTGGCACGCTGACGTATGCACCGGAAACAGGCGGGCGCGCGGGGGAAACGCCGGAATCGGGCAAAAATTTGGGTCGAGATCGAGGAATGGGTCCGGCGGGGCGGCTTTGGCGGCGAGACTCCCTCCGCGACCATCGCGGCCTGACTTACGGCCCGGGTAGGCAGGGCCGAGGCCGCCGAGGCCGCCGCCACCAGCCGCCTGCCTCATTCCCGAACCGACAGGCATGGTGATTTAGAGGGGCGGCACGGAGGCCCGGGGACTGACGGGGACAGACGGGGACGGGCTGGGGGACAGACCTTCCCTCACGCCTTTGACACTGTCGGTCGGTCTAGCGGCCTAGCAGCCTAGCAGCCTAGCAGGCGGCTGAGGTAGGTCAAACGGTGCTTTGATCTAGGCCCCATTGGCCTAGTCACACACACACACACACACACACACACACACACACCACACAGAGAGAGAGAGAGAGAGAGACACACACACACACACTCACAGACACACACATGCGCGGAAGAGAGACACGTTGCGTGCCACCGGGGCGCCTTACAACGGCCGGGTAGGCAACCCGGCGCGGCGACTTGTTCAACGGGACGGCCTACTCGGCAGGCGCTCGCGCCGACCGACGACGACGGCACGGGGCGCAGAGAAAAGAGTGTGGGGCGGGGGGAGGGGGGAAACGAAGAGGTTTCCTGTAACCTGTAACCCATGTAACTCTCCCCCCCCCTCCCTCCAGCACTCGGGCCTCTGGATCTGGATCCGCCCTTGCGCGGGGCGTGGAGCAGCGTTCTGTCTCACGCTCGCGCCCCTCGTGCGTCCATCGCGTCCGCGCCTCTCTGAAACGCGGACTTCCAGTGTGGGACACACGACGCCTCGCGACGCCTCGCGCTTCCCGCGCTATTCCGTCTCATTATCGCGAGCCCCTCGTCTCAATTCCTATTTTTCGCGACTTTCATTCTTCGCGACGCTGTAATCCATTGCCTCATAACAAGAAACCGAGAGGGCGGCGGGGCGGCGGCGGGATTTCACAAAGAGGGGGACAAAACAGAAAACAAAAAAAAAGAAAGAAAGGGAAAAAAAATCTAAGCGAGCCAAACAATGAAAGAAGGAGCGACTGTATAAGAAAGAAGACGCAATGAAACCGCAATTACAGCCCGCGCCAGACTTGTTTCGACTCCCCAACACAAACAATTAGAAGCACTCCCATTTTGCATAGCTCCCCCTGATGATGACAAATGGCAGCCTTTTCCCTTCCGCCCGGCATTGCCGGGTGCAGCGCAGTGCTCCGCGTACCTTTCCCTCGGCCGTGCCGCCGTAGCCCAGGTCCTGGTCCGAGTACAGCTCCGCGGTGGCGTGGCTGGGGCTGGTGTTGGGCTTGCCCAGCAGGTGGCGCGAGTGGCGCAGCTTGGACGAGGTGCCCCGGTGGCCGTGGTGGGCGTGGACGCCGCCTGCAACAAACACAACAAAACGCCACATCAAGACAAGGAAAGAAAGAGAGCACTCACGGACTCGGAGTGATTAACACAACAACGGGGATGGTGTGCGCGGAGGCGTGCGCGTGCGTGCGAGAGCGCGGAGCAGGGTCATTCACCGGCGTGTCGTTCGTTATCCGGATTGATTTTATTTCCCCCTTCCCTTCCTTTCTTCTTCTTTTTTTTCGCCCCCAAATAAAAGGGGCAGGACAAAGTTTTCGCAGCAGATTAATTCTTATCGGGAGCGTGCCGTGCTTGGAGCTTCGAGTCCCCGGGCACGCAGGAGGACCGCGAGGGACACCGGGGCGCCCCAGCGGGGCCGGCAGGGCCGGCAGGGCCCCGTCCCGTAAAGGCCGCTACTATTTCAATCCGAGCCGAGCCGGTCGGGTCGGGCCCAGTCGGGCCCCGGCCGCTCTGCAGCAGCTCAGGTTGCTTTTCCGCTTCGACCAGTGAAAAAGTTCTGTAACATAATAGAATTGGACGGCGGGGCGGTGCGGGGGCGGGGGGGGGGCGGGGCGCCCAAAGGAGGGACTGTCCCTCAATGACATCACAATAGCGGTGCTCGCAGGTGAGTGGGGCCTGGGGCCGTGCCGTGCCTTGCCGCGCCTTGCCGCGCACCGCACTGGGATTGGCTGGCCGGCAACAAAGTAGGCGTGGCCCCGCCAACTTTCCACTGTGTCCACTCCACGCGTGGCGGCGCGCCGTCGCCGTCCTCTCGGGGGTCTTGTAGCCGGCCAGCCTGGGCAGCCTCAGCCCCGGCGCCGCAGTGTGCTTGCACCGATTGGGGCCGCATGAGCGGTCTGCCCGGATGCGACATGCGACATGCGACAAGCGACGCGGCGGGGCACGGCGGCGAGGCGACCCACGGTCCAGCGGGCAAACGTGCGGCAGGCCGAGCACGCCGAGCAGGCCGAGTAGGCCGACATCGCGTTGGAGCCGCCCCTGCGCGGCCGTGCGTGCAGCGAGCACGTGCGTCCCCCTGCCCCCAGCCCTGCCCCCAGCCCTGCCCCCGGCCCCGCCCCCGCCTCCCTGACCGTCCCCAGGCTGTCCGGCTGGCGGCAGTTCGCCTCTCCGCATTGCCGTTGCCGAGCGGAGAGCGAACCGTTCGAGCGGCTTGACGGGATGGGTTCAGGCGTTCGCAGTGGCACGCGGTGGCAGTGGCTCGACTTGTTGAATAATCCACCATTCAGTGCCATCCTCGGATCCTGGCCACCGCGTCAGGCGGAGAGCCCGTTTCTTTCGGCGCCTCATCGCCAGGGGGGCAGGGCGAGGCAGCAGGGCGTGCCGCGCCGCGCGGCGAGCAAAGCAATGTCTCTGGAAGTTTTGGGGCGGTTTGCATGCGAATTAGGAAACAATCACTTTCAAATGAGAGGGGTGGCGTCTGTCGGTCTCCTTCCGCCGGCTCAAGTGCTCCGTCTCTCTCGCTCTCATGGGGCGCACCGCGGAGTGCGAGAGAGACAGAGCGCCCGGGGGTTGGCGCGGCGGCCGACCGCGGCGCACGTATTCCAATCAAACGCCAACAATACGCCGCGCCCCACCTGGGCCCCACCAGGGCACCGCAGCCACCGCGGCCCGGCCGGGCCGAGCGCGCCAGGCCAGGACCGCCAATCCAATACTTCAAGAAACGCTGCCGATTTCTCCCCCTTCCTTGCCGGACTACAAAAGTCTCGCGCAGGCCAACCCTTTATTACCAACTTTGGCTCCCCTGCTCCGCTGCCGCGGGCAGTCGCGGGCGGCCGCGGGTCCGAGGTTCCAGGTGGAGCCCGACGCACCGCAAGCGGCGGGGCGGGGCCGCCATGCGCCCTGCTCGATATTCACGGTGGATTCCACAGGTCCGACCCGCGGCGCTGCTCCGCGCTGCTCCGACGGCCGACTGCCGACTCGCGCGGCGGTACACGGGGATTACGCCTTACGCCAACTCGGCCAAAGTTCCCGGGCAGGGCGTCACCTTCCTCCATTCCTTCGCCTTCGCCCCGGCCCCGCCAGGAATTCTCGCAAGCCATATTTAACGGTCCGCCGGCGCCATTTCCGACGGGAGGGAAAGCCTCCAGCAGGGCCTCCACGGCCGGCCAGTCTCTCTCGCACCCCTGGGGAGGGCCCCACCAGTGTGAGCGAGACAGACCGTCCTTCGGAATCGGGCCGCGGCAGCGGGGACGCAGAGGGAGTCGACTAGCGTCTCGTTAGCGCGGCGATACAGCGAGGTTCGTTCCGAACAGCGCCGCGCCGCAGTCGCACCCCCGCACAGTGGGCCAGAAGGCCAGTGGAGGCGGTCAAAATCCCGGACGCGTTTTGCGCTCCAGAGTCGCTAAATGGGACTCGAATCGAACGTGTGACCCCACCAATGAATTGCTCTCCGAACGAGGAATCCGTTGGTAGGGTCACACTTCTGGTTTGAGCTCTGTTTAGCGACTTTCGGGCTCAAAACAAGTCCAGAGTTTTGGCCGCCTGCGCCGGTCTTCTGGCCCACTGTGCGAGAGAGACAGCGCGACGAAGGCAGTGTGGTGGCCGCGGGGAGGGCCAGCGCCGGCGGCCGAGGCCTCGGCCCAGACCATGAAGGAGGGCGGTGTGTGTAGCGGCATTAGCGGCAGTTTGATTGCGACAGTTATGGCGCGGCGTGGCGCGGCGCGGACCACTTGCCGCGGCTTTATGTTGAAGGGGAAGGGGGGGGAGGGGGACATAAACTGGATTGGACCGTATAGGCTCCTCAGCGCTCCTCAGGTACCGAGGCCGCGCCAGGCCGCGCCACCACCCTCTTCCTTCCGGCCTTCCGGCCCTCCGAACGGGAACAGGCCATCCCTCAAATGAACAAGGCCACCCAGTCCGCCCACACAGTCCGCGGCGATGCGAATGCGGCTCGCACAACGAGCACCCTCGCGCTCTCGCTCCACTGTGAAGACACCAAAGCAAAACAAAGCAAACCAGGCAAGAAATGAAAAGTGCAGCCGAGTCCTCGAGATTAGGAGGCGAGGGAGGCGGGGGCGCGAAGCAAAAAAACAACGAAAAGCAAAAAGGAAGAAGCAAACAAGGGCCCGCGGTGGCGGTGCCCTCGCGAATAGTGCGGCGGCAGACATCAGGGGAATCCCAATCCGAATCCGAGGCCGTCTGACTGTGACTGGCCGCCTGACTGGCCGGCCACAAAAGTGGCGAATTCCGGGGGAATCTCAATCTGAATGCAAATGTACAGCCATCGCACAAAGTTGGCAGAGGGAGGGGGGTGGACGCGAGGCGACAATCGAAGGAGTTGGGGATTAGCCCGCGCAGGTGACAAGTTGAAAGCGACAAGTTTACCGAAGTGAGCAAGAAGAAAGGCGCGGGGGTGGGGGTGGCAGGACGGCAGGGGAGATTAAGTTGATCTTTTTTCCCCTCCTCCTCCTCCTCCTCCTCCCTTTCACTAGCAGCGCGCCAGCGCCAAATTTTTTAAGCCGGCCGCGCGCGCTGGCGCGCTGCAAAAACGAGCGGGCGGGCAAGGCGGGTAAAGCGCCGGGTAATTCACGGGGTAAATAATAATTCCGGGCCAGATGTGCGGAATCTGGACGGATGCAAATGGGGCGCGGGCCGGCCGTGGTGCCTGGCCGGCCGAACGAACGCCGGGCCGGGCCGGGCCGCGCGAAGGTGCCGCTGTAAGCAAATTATCCAGCTAAATATGCATTCATTCAAATACTGGCGCCGCGCGGTCGCAAAGAAGGGCCTCTTCATCTTGCCGCCACGCCGACAAGGACGTCGAGGACGTCGAGGACGACGAGGACGACGAGGCGCACGTGAGCGGAGCGGCCGGGCGGGCCCGACCGACCAGAACAGCCACGACGAGTTCATCGCCACCACAGCAAAGGCGCGAATGAAAAACAAAACAAAGCAAAACAAAAAACGAGTTCAAGTTGGACGAGAACGCCCCGCTCCGCTCCGCCCCTCCCACAGTCCTCTTCCACATTGCCTCCCCTTTTTTTTCGGCTCACCACTTACTTGTGAATCCAGCGAACTACGGCAGCCCGGCCGCTGGACCATCGTTAAAACAGGGCGATGGGGTGGGGTAGGGTGGGGCGGGGTGGGGGGGGCGGGGTGGGGTGGGGCGGGGTGAGCGGGGCGGGGCATTGAGGAGCGGCGAGGCGTGGGGCGGCCGGGCCGGGGCCGAGGCCGGGGCCATGTAAGGCTGCGCCATCTATTTGCTTCCGCACAGCTCAACTGATAATGTAGTACGGTGCTGGCTGGGCTGGCTGGCTTTGGGCTGCAGCAGGCCTTCCCGGTCTTCCCTCATCCCAGACAACCCGCAGCACCGGCCCGGCCCGGCCCGGCCCTCCCTCAGGCCACCGGTGCTCTCTGCTTTCGGGCTTTCGGCGTGGTCGGGGCGGGGCGGCGCAGGGCGGCGCGGCGCGGGGCCCTGCTCGGCGCGGCGTAAGCCACACGGAGTACGGAGTGCCCCCCGGTGCCCCCCCCCCCCCCCCGCCTCGCCCCCGCCGAGGCCCGTTCCAGCCGCAGTTTTAATTAGGTTGCCAACAGCCAGCCAGCCAAGCAGCCAGCCAGCCACGGGCCGCGGCGTGCAGGATTCATCCTGGCCGACGAGGAGTGCAAGAGCGAGGAGGTAAGCGGGCCTGGCTTGGCGCATTGGCCTTTGAGCGGCCAGCGGCGCGGAGGCAGCAGTGTAGGCAACCCGCACCACGACGCCACCGTGCACGGACGCGCCGCGCCCCCGCGCCGCGACAGCCTCAAGTACTTCCTGGTCCGCCACCTGGTCCCTACCTCCCCGCACCGGCCCGGCCGACGCTCGGAGGCTCGGGGGTGCAATGTGAGGGATGCGGGGTTGACACCGAGGTGAGAAGTAATTTGCGCCGAGACAGACGGCCGGGCAGCGTGAAAGGTACCCCGCCCCTTTCTCCCCCTCCCCGTCCCCCGGCCTGGGAGTGACACATCGCTGCACCTGAGACGGGGGAGGCAATCCGACGGCCAGGCAGGCAGGCAGGCAGCAGAGGCGGCATGACGGC